AGGGAGGTCTCGGAGCACCAAACGGCTGTGCTGGGGACAAAGCCTCCGTGTGGTCTCTGATAGAAGGAACCTGATTTTCCATGTAGATCCCTTGGGACAAATTTGGGGTAAAAATAAGAAATAAACTGCACGAAGAAACTTTAAAGGGAAATCTTGAGAATAAAAGCCCTTTAAATCTGTAAAACATTTTCAAAAATATTATTTTATTTTATCCTGTAAGAAAGGATGTGCAACCATTGGAGCTGCTTTCCTGAAGAAAAGCTACAGGCAGTTCCCACAACCGATGGGAGGTGGGCAGAGGGCACAGGTGGTCTCTTTTTGTCCCTTCTGGTCCTCAAGCACCCTCTTTTATGCTGGCCAGCCCCCAAATCATGACAAAGAGATTTATTACTAATTGCGAATGCTTGGTCCTAGCATAGGCTTCCCATTTTTATTCATTGGTGCTGCCTAGGGCTCATTTACCTCACCCACACACCGTCCGTCCCACTCTCCTGCCTCCTCTGTGTCTGGCTGGCCCCCAGCTGGCTGACTGGCTTGCCTTTCCTTCCGCCTGCCAGCCCCACCTATCCCTCCTATGCCCAGTTACTGGCTGACCAATCAGATGCTTTAGGCAGGCAAGGTGAAACAACAACACATCTTTACATAGTTAACCAAATGCAGCATAATCCACAGCGGGCCAGAGACTGGTGTGCTGTGCCCCTGGCTTTTCCCTTTGATGGGTTGTACCAATGGCTGGCGCTGGAAAGGACTCAATACAGAAAATAGAGAGATGCTGGGCCTAGAACTCTGGAGACAGAGGCAGGTGGATCTCTGTGAGTCTGAAGCCAGCCTACTCTACAGAGTGAGTTCCAGGCCAGCCAGGGCTACGTAGACCTGTCTCAGAAAGAGAAAGGAAATAAAAACGGATAACCGTCTACCCAGATAAAGAGAACTCTCAACAAATTTCTGAAAGTCTTTGTCAAAGATGCTGAAATAAACGGTTGTCGAGCTTGGCCGCATCTGAGAAGTCTCCTGGGTCTTCAGTTCCAAAGAGTCACCTGCGGGGTTTGTAACAAACACAGATTTCTGGGTCTGGGCAGGTGCCTCTGTGGGCAGAGTTTGCCACATGGGCATGAAGACCTGAGTCTGGAATCCAGGACACATAAACACCCAGACATGGTGGAGCGTTTCTGTAACATGTCCCTGGGAAGGCAGAGCCTGGCAGATCCATGAAATCTGTTGGCCATCCAGTCTAGTCACATAGGTCAGCTCCAGGTTCAGTGAGACCACCTCAAAAAGTAAGGTGGGGTGTCTTAGGCAGGGATTCTATTGTTGCGATGAAACACCTTGACCAGAAAGCAAGCTGGGGAGGAAAGGGTTTATTAGGCTCACACTTCAGCATTGCTGCTCATCACTGAAGGAAGCCAGGACAGGAACTCAAACAGGGAAGGATCCTGGAGGCAGGAGCTGAGGCAGAGGCCATGGAGGGTGCTGCTTACTGGCTTGCTCCCCATGGCTTGCTCAGCCTGCTTTCCAATAGAACCCTGGACCAGCAGCCCAGGGATGGCACCTCCCATCATGCACTGGGTCCTCCCACACTGGATCACTAATGGAGAAAATGCCTACCAGCTGGATCTCACGGAGACATTTCCTCAGCTGAGGCTCCTTCCTCTGATGACTCTAGCTTGTGTCAGGATGACACAGAAAGTCAGCCAGGACACAGAGGTAGGCTGGGAAATGGCTCAGCAGGTGAGGGAACGCCTTGCTCTCCCTTAGAACCAGAGTTTGGACACCAGCATCCTCATGAGACGGCTCACCACACCCATAACTACAGCTCTAGGAGGACCCGACGCCTCTAGTCTCGGTGGGCACCTGTGCTCTCATGCACACATTGACACACACACTCACACACACACTCACACACACACTCACACACACACTCACACACACACACACTCTCACACACACACACTCACACACTCACTCACACACACACTCACACACGCACACACACGTGTGCATAATTAAAAATAAAATAAATCGGGCTCAGTGGCCAAGATCACTGGCTGCCCTTACAGAGGACTCGGTTTCAATTCCCAGCATCCACATGGCAGCTTACAAATGTCTGTAATTTCGTTTTCAGGGGACCTGAGACCCTCACACAGACATACATACAGGCAAAATACCAACGCACATAACATAAAAATAAATAAATAGATAGATAGATAGATAGAAATTATCTTTAAAATGAAAGAAATGAGATGGAGCATGAACGAGAAGATACCTCTGGCCTCCACACGCATGAGCACACTCATGCACACACATCACACATGCGCCCACCCATAAACACACACACACACGAAACACACCACAAACACACACACACACATGAAACACATCACAAACACACACATATGAAACACACCACAAACACACACACATGAAACACACCACAAGCACACACACATAAGAAACACACACACATATGAAACACACCACAAGCACACACACACATATGAAACACACCACAAACACACATGAAACACATCACAACACACACATATGAAACACACCACAAGCACACACACATATGAAACACACCACAAGCACACACATACACATGAAACACACCACAAGCACACACACATATGAAACACACCACAACACACACATATGAAACACACCACAAGCACACACACATATGAAACACACTACAAGCACACCACATGTAGACAAAGAGTGCAACCTAAGTGTCCACCGGGTGCAATGTGGCGTGTGTACAGTGGACTATCACACAGGTGCAATGTGGCGTGTGTACAGTGGACTATCACACAGGTGCAATGTGGTGTGTGTACAGTGGACTATCACACAGGTGCAATGTGGTGTGTGTACAGTGGACTATCACACAGCCACAAGTAACAACTGAAATCCACATGAGGCACGGGATGAGCAAGTGGGATATGGGAAGACACAGTCCTCACATGTGGACACTGAATTGACTGATGCTGTGGACGGGGAGAGCAGAACCATGATGGCATCTGGAGAGAGATGGCTGACCAGTGATTGTGTTCGTTCCCGTCTGCCCAGACTCGAAATAACCACTCAGAAACTGTATTATTTAAATCATTGCTTGGCCAATCACTTAAGCATATTGTAGCTAGCTCCTATATCTTTGATTAACCCATTTCTATTATTTTATATATTACCATATAACTGTGACCTACCGGCAAGGTTATGGCTGGAGGCTTGTATCTATCCCCTCTGGCAGCTCCAGGGTGTCTCCTTGACTCTGCCTACTCTTTCTATATATCTCTTCCAGCCTGACTATACTCTGCTAAGCCACTGGCCAAAAGCAGCTTCTTTATTTATTAACCAATAAAAGCCACACATATACAGAAGGACCTTCCACACCAAGTGAGGGTGACAGGGGCTGCGGAGAGAGGATGGCCAACCAGTGATGGTGTCAGGGACTGGGAAGAGAGGATGGCCAATCAGTGATGGTGTCAGTGGCTGGGGAGAGAGAATGGCCAATCAGTGATGGTGTCAGGGGCTGGGAAGAGAGGATGGCCAATCAGTGATGGTGTCAGTGGCTGGGGAGAGAGAATGGCCAATCAGTGATGATGTCAGGGGAAGAGAGGATGGCCAATCAGTGATGGCGTCAGGGGCTGGGAAGAGAGGATGGCCAATCAGTGATGGCGTCAGGGGCTGGGAAGAGAGGATGGCCAATCAGTGATGGTGTCAGGGCCTGGGAAGTGAGAATGGCCAATCAGTGATGGTGTCAGGGCCTGGGAAGAGAGGATGGTCAATCAGTGATGGTGTCAGGGGAAGAGAGGATGGCCAATCAGTGATGGTGTCAGTGGCTGGGGAGAGAGAATGGCCAATCAGTGATGGTGTCAGGGGAAGAGAGGATGGCCAATCAGTGATGACATCAGGGGCTGGAGAGAGAGAGAGAGAGAGAGAGAGAGAGAGAGAGGGAGAGAGAGTCTGTGGAGAGGATGGCTAGCCGGCTGACCACACTGACTGTCTCAGAACAGTTGGTGGAGAAGGTTTTGAATGTTCCCGACAGAGAGAAATGACAGTTGATCGTGATGATGGGTGACAATTTACTGATTCAGCACGACACATTGTACACACACAACAAAATATCTCATCACACTCATAGAGAGGTACAGCCATGTGTTACTGAAATTAGTTTTTATCAAAGATCCCACATCAGAGTCTGGAGAGATGGCCCAGAGTTCAAGAGCACCGGCTGTTCTTGGGGACTCCGGTTTAGTTCCCAGCACTGGCTGTTCTTGGGGACTCCGGTTTAGTTCCCAGCACCGGCTGTTCTTGGGGACTCCGGTTTAGTTCCCAGCACCCACAAAGTGAGTGTGGATTCTTCTTATTTCCATGTCCAGTTATAAGTAAAAACGCTAGAATTTGTAAGTACCCATGAGATACCATCTTAATTTTAACTTATGTATTAGAAGAAGCGAAAGTTTACCAAAAGGTGTTTTATTACAGTCAAACCAGAGGCAGGGCCAATCTCTTCTCAAACTACACCCAAACGAATATTCATCCCTTTCACTGTTGTCCCCTCTCCAGGGCCAATCTGAACTCTCAGACTCTCCCCAAAAGCTAGGTCAGAACCCTCGGTAACTGCTCCCATGGCGTCACTTGAAGCCACACTGTCAAGAGACATTCGTCATAAGTGGCCTCTTCTGTCCAGAAAGGCTGAGTCTCCCAGCTCAGAAACAGAAAAAGTTGTTCTTAGGAATTCTCTGGAAGGAGACAGTAAAGTGATCATGCAGGAACCCAGAGCTGCAGAGCCCAGGGAGGGGTGTCCAGGCGGAGCTGTGGAGTCCAGGGAAGGGTGTCCAATCTGATGAGAATCACAGCAACTCCTGCCTGCTACCCTTGCTTTGCTGACAGCGATACTAAGGACATACACAGCACTTTAAGGTCAGCAAGTCATTCAGAGAGGCAAAGCCCTCTGAGAGTTCCAGGACAGCTGGGGACATAGAGAGTTCCAGGACAGCTGGGGCTACATCACAACTGAGGATGGAGGCAGAGATAAGGTCAGAGCACCTTCCCAAGGCCGTGTTCTTTTCAGAAAGTCAGCACCTGCAGCGAGACACAGTCACCGTCAACCTCAGGTTCAGGAGGGAGTCTGGGATCCCACCTCCCTTACCCTTCTCTTTCCCTATGGCTCCCTGGCCCAGTTCCTCAGCCCTGCTTTCCACGAGGCTTCCTTGGAGCCTTGCTCATGTTTGTGTGATGTCCTTTTCTACCAAGGTGGCAGTTATGAGGCTGTCTCCTAATGGTGGGGCCACAGAACATCTTTATCCTTGTACAGCCTGTAGCCCGCTCCTAGCCTTTGACAAGTGAGGCTTTGGGCAAATCAGTGGTGGATTAAACACTATTTCCAGCAGATCAACAGATGTTATGGAGGAATTACTGAATGTCAAGATGTATGCTAACCTCTACAGATAAAAATCGTGAAGCAGGGCTCCTAGCCTGGCGTGGAGGTGCAGGGCTTTGATCCCAGCATAAAGAGGAAGGGAAGAAGGAAGGGAGGGAGGGAGGAAAAAAAGGAAGGAAGGGACAGACAGGCTTCTCATCATAAGGCTATACGCTAGGAGAGGTCCCAACCTCCTCCCTTCACATTCCATGGAAAATTATAAAAGTCCAAAGAGAACTCCACCAGCAAGATGGCAGGGAAAACCCCAGTCAGCTTCCAGAAGCACTGATTCCAAAAAATGGGCAAAGGATGCAAGCCAGAAACTACCAGAACAAGAACAATGGAGCCCAAAGAAGCCACAAGTGAGGATGTTCACAACTAGAAGTAATTAAAGGAACGTGGAGACACGATGGGGGCACGGACACTGCAGGAGACTGGACAGGGTGGGGTGGACGTGGCTGCAGACACTGCGGGAGACTGGACAGAGTGGGGTGGACATGGCTGCAAACACTGCAGGAGACTGGACAGGGCAGGGGTGGACGTGGCTGCAGACACTGCGGGAGACTGGACAGGGCAGGGGTGGACGTGGCTGCAGACACTGCGGGAGACTGGACAGAGTGGGGTGGACATGGCTGCAGACACTGCGGGAGACTGGACAGGGCAGGGGTGGACATGGCTGCAGACACTGCAGGAGACTGGACAGGGCAGGGGTGGACGTGGCTGTGGACACTGCAGGAGACTGGACAGGGCAGGGATGGATGTGGCTGTGGACACTGCAGGAGACTGGACAGGGCAGGGGTGGACGTGGCTGTGGACACTGCAGGAGACTGGACAGGGCAGGGGTGGACGTGGCTGTGGACATTGCAGGAGACTGGACAGGGCAGAGGTGGACATGGCTGCAGACACTGCAGGAGACTGGGAACCAACATAGACGTAGCAGTGGCAATGGACAGGCAGCATACAGCCAAGGGAAGGGGCCACATGCCCAGCTCCCTGCAACTGCTTCCTAGGGTCCATGAATCCCAGAGATGCAGGTCTGTGTGAAAATATTAAGAGATAATCGGACACAGCGCAGGTATCCCAGAGGTGTAGAGACAGGTGGGTGGTGAGAGCAGAACAGACCAGAGGTTCAAATTAGACGTGCAGGGCGATGCTATCTGAGCTCACTAAAGTCACAGGAACGGTGAATACTGCCACGCATTGCGCGCAGTAACTATATGTAACGGGAAACTCACTAAATACCTTAGCGTGTTTACATATGGTGTGGGGGAAGAGGCTAGACCTGAGAGTAAGGGAACAGAGGAGTGAATGAATGCGGAGTCAGAACAGGGGTGCCCTGAAGTCCGTGGGACCTCTGTGGAGGGGGGACCTTAACCTTGGCCCCGAGGTCCAGAGTCAAGAATGAGAAGACGAAGGTGAGAGGCGCCGTCATCGTGGAGAGATCGTTATCCAGCGGGAGAATTAAAAAACTAAGAATTTGAAATATAATAGATTTTGATAAATAGGTTTTGATAAATAGAAGCCCAGAAGGGAAATTTTATGTGAGTTTTGCTACAAGTGGGTCCAAGTAGAGACGGGAAACTGCGTCATCCGTTACAACAGACCTAGTTACGCGCATACGCAGGACAGATTAGACCTTGGTTGAACTTGGTTCTCTTTCTTCACGAAAGGCAGGGCAGTGAGAAAGTTACAGACAGCCTGTGTGGCCTTGGCTTTAAAGCGCTTGTGCACAAAGACGCCTAAGCGTCTCTCAAGCAACAAACCGCAGTGGCGTTAGCACCCTCACATGGAGGATGGATAACACTGGGCTGCAAGCACAGATGCTCAGGGCAGGGCCCGAGCCTTGGGTTCCCAGGGTTGTCAGTGTCGCCTCTCATAGCTCTGTCCTGCTCGCCGTCGAGAGATCTGTGTCTGCTTCATCAGTGTGAATGTTCCCTCCTTTCTGCACAGAGGAGTAGACTCCCTGACTCCACCCTAACGTTCCCACCTCCACAGTTGCTCACAGGGGTCCTTGGATCCAGGGGTCGTGGCCCGAGTGCAGAGCTCTTACGATGAACACACTGCCAATGACGATGCCCACCAGGCCCACCACCAGGCCCAGCACACAGACCACAGTCTCCATGGTCTCCGCAGCCTGGAACGGCTCCTGCATTTCTGTGGGAAATGAGATACAGTTAGCACAGTGGGTTGCTGGCGGCGAGGTCCCGGAAGAGGCGTGTTGGGGTGTTGGGGGGAGGAGGGAGTTCTGCTCACCCCAGTGAGTGAGGCTCGGCTGGTCCAGGCCCCAGTGCTCCACCCTGCAGTCATACACATCCTCGGCCGTGGGCACGAAGGTCAGGTAGTGGAACTTGTGAAATCTGAGTTCCGTACTGGGCAGAAAGACGGTCTCAGAAGTCCCTTCAGTGACCAGCTTCCCGTTCCGAAGCCATGTGACGTTGAGCACTGGGGGAAAGAACCTATCGAGGTGGCAGATGAGGACGTTGGGCTGACCCAGCTCCACGGGGTTCTTGGGGAACACGGTCACCTCGGGAGGCTCTAGGAAGAGACAGGACCTGGTGAGTTCTGCATAGTCACTGAGTTCCCACCCGGTGTCTTCTGCTGCAGTCTAAATTCACAGCACCTTTGGGGTCCAGAGCGAGAGCTGGGAGACTCCTAACACTGAGCCAACACCAGTCCCCCACTTACAGCAGAAGATCAGCAAAGGGAGTTAGGGGCGCTCATTCTGAGTGTGGGCCAGGGCCCTCCCACCCCTCCCACCCCTCCCACCCCTCCCACCCCTCCCACCCCTCCCACCGGGTGGCAGAGGAAAAAGCAAGAGAACCCGCACCACTGGGGACCTGGGTGATGTTGTGTCTCTGGATCAAGGCTCTCAGGTTGCTCTTCAGGCGGGCGATGTAGGGCAGAGCCCCCTGGGCGTCAAAGCCGTAGACCGTGCTGAACTCTGACAGGCCCCAGACTGTCTCCTCCCTGTCAAGATCCACGTAGAACTGCTCATCGCCGTCAAACTCATACATGCAGTCACCTGACGGCGTTTGCATCTGTGCGAATATGTCATACATTGCTATATGGTCCGCTGTTCAAACAAGATGCAGAAGGATGGACAAATGTAAGAACTATTATGTGGTGCTGAGGCGGGGGAGGGGGGGATGGCTGGATTTATTCATAAAGTCAGAAAAGGCCGACAGAGGGAAATGTGGGGAGAAGGAGCAACAGAAAACAGCAGGCAGGGGAGGGGGGCTACAGGGGAGAGGCGGCTGGAGAGACTTCCCTGCTTACTCCCAGGCAGAACCCCATGATTCTGCAGGGGTCTCGGGAACTCACTGAGCACCAAGCGCCAGGCATTTGCTAGTAGGTTATGTCTTTGACTCATGTGGATGTTACAACTTCCCTAGAAGTAACCAGGGAGACTCAGAGAGAGTGGGTAACTTGTACCAGGTCACACAGAGATGAGAAACTAGGAGAAAGACGGTCTTCTCCCGATGGCTCTCAGATCTAGAACTGCAGATGTGAAGTTAGGTTTGAACTGACGGGGATGGAGGGACAGGCGGGCAGAAAATTGAAAGTTGAGGGGAAAGCTCACTGAGCTGTAGGGCTCTTTATGGTCGCTGGATTTCTGTTTCAGTTCATAAGCCCACACCTGCAGTGTGTGCTGATATTATGACCATTTTTTTTATCTTGAGCATCTTGAGGACGGATTTGACAATGGTTTCAAACTTTATTTTTCAATACATTTTTAAACATTTTTTATTTTGTTTTAAATGGAATTATAGAAGTTGTTGAATTTGAAATCCCTCTGTGGTTTGATCTTTTCTTAGTCTTGATTAGTTTGTTAGAAACAGCAAACACAAGACAAGCTATCGTTAGCAACAATGTGATAAACATGTGAGCGTTGTGGATTTAAAATGGTGGGGAAAGAGTCGGGAGGGCTGGGCGTCCCTGCCTCTTCCCTGTGGATCCCGAGGGCTGGGCGTCCCCGCCTCTTCCCTGTGGATCCCCGGCCTGGGCAGGTGGGAGTGTCTATGCCTGGACTGTTCAGCAGCAACAGAATGTTCCCTCAGAAGGATTTCAGGTTCCTCGTGAGCCAGAGGAATCTTCTTCACAAAACAGGTGAAACGGGAGATTAAAAAACCCTTAAAGCACCATTTAAAACTGGCTCATGCCAGGCAGTGGTGGTGGTGCACCCCTTTAATCCCAGAACTCGGGAGGCAGAGGCAGGTGAATCTCTGTAAATCTGGGGCTAGTGTGGTTTAAAGTGAGATCCAGGACTGTTACACAGAGAAACTTTGTTTCCAAAAACAAAACAAAGCAAAAAAGAAAAAAAAAAGATAATTGGGAATTGGGGCTGGAGAGATGGCTCAGCAATTAAGAGCTCTTCCAGAGAACCTAGGTTCAATTCCCAGCACCCACATGGCAGCTCACAACTGTCTGTAACTCCTGTACCAGGGAATCTGACACCTTCACACACACATGCATGAGGGCAAGACACCAATGTACACAAACACAGATAAATTATTTTAAAAAAACTGGCTTATACTTTTCCCCCTCCCCCGGCTTACACTTTTTAATCATTTTCACAGATTCTGAGTTCTAAAGATCAGTCAGATATGAAACAATGTATTTTCCTCCAAAAGTCATTTTCATACCCATCTAGTGTCACAGGCCTGTAATCCCAGCTACAGTTGAGGCAGGAGAATTTCAGTTTCAAGGCCAGTCTGAACAATTTAGTTCCGAATCACATACAAAAAGCTGGAGGAACCTCAGACCATTCAGAGGTGGGGTACTTAATCAACGTTCGTGGGGCTCAGTCCTCAGTACTTCTCACACTAAGAAGTCAACATCATCCAGAAAAAATACGCTAAAACCTACGTATTACAAGCCAAGGCGTGGTGGCTCAGGCTTGCAAGCCCAGCATCTGGGAGGCTGAGGCAAGAGGATAGCCCAAAAGTTCAAAGTCTTCCTGAGTCACAGAGTGAGACCCTATCGCAACACCACACACACACACACATACACACACACACACAGAGAGAGAGAGAGAGAGAGAGAGAGAGAGAGAGAGAGAGAGAGAGACAAACAGCAATATGGCCTGGTTCCTAGCCCCCATGCTTACACTGACTGCAGGAGCAGACAGAAAGAGTGAGGACAGAACACAGAACTTGCGGCAGGCTCTGAATGCTGTCGGCAGGCTCTGAATGCTGTCTACCGCCCGGGCATCCGGGAAGGTGAACTGTTGAACTGAAGCTGTGGGCAACGCCATTTCTCACTTCGGGAAGAATGGTCCAGGCATTCGGAGAACCACAGAGGCTTCCGCAGTAAACTTCAGATATGGAACAGGAGACAGGAAGAAAGGGCCAGAGAGGTCAAGACAGACTTCTTGACCTTAGGAATTTAATGCCAACTTGAAAGCCAGAAAACTTTCACAAGGTTTTGACAGGGGTGTGACATCAGTCTGGGGTTTAGGAAGGTCTTGGTGGCTACAGTGTGCAGCCTGAAAGGGAGATGGCTAAAGAGGCAAGACCTAGCGATGGGAAGAGAGGAAGTGAGCTGTGGAAGGGAAGAAAGGAAAAGTCCATTTGGTTGATGCTAGAGAGGCCGGCGCTACAAAAAGTGAGGGAGAGACACAGAAGTAATTTTCTTATTCTAGGCTGGCTAAAATGATCTTTCTGTCTATCGTCTATCTATGTGTCTATTATCTATCTATCATCTATGTCTGTCTTTCATCTATCTATTATCTATCTATACACACATCCTATCATCTATATCTACCTATCCATCTATCATCTATCTTCCTATCTACCTACCTTCCTCTATCTATTGTCTATCTATCTATCTATCTATCTATCTATAATATATCTATCTATTGTTGGGAGAAACTGTTCATTCATTCCTGGCAGCTCAGACCTGAAATAATCACACAGAAACTATATTATTTGAATCACTGCTTGGCCAATCACTTAAGTGTGTTGCTAGCTAGCTCTTATATCTTTGGTACACCTCCATACCTGATGCACCTCAACACCTGGTGCAACTCCACACCTGGTGCACCTCAAAACCTGGTGCGCTGCCACACCCGGCACACCCCCATATCTGGTACACTGCCATACATACCTGGTGCACCACCACACCTGATTCACCTCCATACCTGGTTCACCTTCACACCTGGTGCTACTCCACTTTTGGTGTACTTCCACACCTTGTGCACCTCCCCTCCACACCTGGTGCACCTCCACACCTGGTTCTCCTCTACACCTGGTACACGCCCCCACCTGGTGCACCTCCCCTCCACACCTGGTGCACCTCCACACCTGGTTCTCCTCTACACCTGGTACACGCCCCCACCTGGTGCACCTCCCCCTACCTGGTGCACTGCCACTTTCAGTCCAACTCCACACCTGGCACACCCCGATATCTGGTGCACCTCCCCTCCACACCTGGTGCACTGCCACACCTGGAGAACCTTCCCTTCATACCTTGTGCCCCCCACCATCCTCCTGACCTTTGATGACCCCAGTCCCCCATCCTCCTGACCTTTGATGACCCCAATCCCCCATCCTCCTGACCTTTGATGACCCCAGTCCCCCCATTCTCCTGACCTTTGATGGCCGCAGATCCTGGGAGACTCAGTAGGAAAGCCAGGAAGGAGGCTCTCAGGACCTCAGCTTTACTCTGGAACATTCTCCCCTCAGAGCACGGGTTGGGGATCTACGCTGATGACTGTGATCACAGGATAGTGAAGAGAACTGAGACAGATTGGGGACAGGTGAAACCCTGACACCCGGCGGCTTCCTGTAGCCTGACTAAACAGATGAAAAGACCGGGGAAACCAGCGAGGCTGGGTCAGCCAATCAGAGAAGCCGGAGAGCTGACCCGGCTGTTGCTGGGTAAAGGGGGCTGAAGAGGAGGGAGTTTTCTGAAGCTGACAGGGGTTGGGGTGGGGGCTGTCAGGGTGGGGACTTGAGAGGGTGAGGCACACACCCTCCCGGTGCTGGGTGTTTGTACTGGAGTCTGCTGCTAGATAGAAAGTCTCCCACGTTCCCCACACCGCTGTCACCCTGGCCACCAGATCATCTCTGATGTTTCCTCCACTGTTTTTCAATATTTTTCATTTCATTTTATGTGTATGAGTGTTTGGTCCGTGTGTATGTCTGGGCACCGCATGCCTGCCTGGTGCCCACAGAGGCCAGAAGACGGTGCCTGATCCCCTGGAACTGGAGTTACTGACAGCTGTGAGTGCTGTGTGGGTGCTGGGAACCGAAGCCAGTGTTCTCCACAGGAGCGGCAGGTGCTCACTGCTCAGCAGTCTCTTTAGTCCTCCACCTTACTGCTGAGCGGGTTCCTCAGTGAACCTGGAGCTTGTTGGCCGCCTGGACTGTGTCCAGCAGGATCTGTCTTCCTTGGCCTCCCTGGCGCTGGGATTACACGTGTGGCCGGGATCTAGGCTCAGGTTGTGTGCTTTCGTGGTAAGCTCTTCCCTGACTGAGCCATCCCCCTGCTGTGTGACTCATGACCTCGTGTGGCTGCATTTCCTCAGCTGCAGGAGCTGTGTCCGCCTCAGTTATGCAGTGCACGTCTGGTTGCTGCATCGCTTCCTCCGTCTGTGGAGGGGCTGGGGCGGGGCTGACCGAATGATTCCCCCGTCAGGTCAGGGTGCCCCCTGAGTCAACTCTGCTTCACCTCCACAGACACCTGGCATTAGGAGGTCGTCGGGGTCATGTGGCTGCCCTCGACTGGGTGACAAAGAAGCTCATGTGTGAGATCAATGTCATGGAAGCGGTGCGGGACATCCAGTCAGTGCTCCCTCTGCTAGCAGTCGATGGGAGTGGGTCGGCTGTTCCCAACTGGGTGATGCCCTGTGGTCCTGGCTCCATGGAACTCGCCCTTTCTACCCAGCTTCCCCCATTCTGAGCTCCTGGGTGTTCAGTGTCTGTCTGTCTATAGCAGAGGAGTGGCAAAGAGACTCCAGTCAGGAGTCTGGGGGCCCTAGAGAATTGAGGTTTGGTTTCACAGACTCCACATACCTATTTTTTTTATTTTCTTCTCTTAATGAAGGTCTATATGGTAACATTTTCTTTATATTTTAATATCTATATAAGAAAATGATGCCAACATAATATTTCTCCTCTTTCTTTTTTGTTTTTCTTTCTTTTTCTTTTTTTAGATTTATTTATTATGTATACAGTATTCTGCCTGCAGGCCAGAAGAGGACACCAGATCTCATTACAGATGGTTATGAACCACCATGTGGTTGCTGGGAATTGAACTCAGGACCTCTGGAAGAGCAGTCAGTGTTCGTAACCTCTGAGCCACCTCTCTAGTCCTGTTTGTTTTTCAAGATAGAGTTTCTCTGTGTAGCTTTGGAGTCTGTCCTGGAACTCGCACTATAGATCAGGCTGGCCTTGAACTCACAGAGATCCTCCTGCCTCTGCCTCCTGAGTGTTGGATGATGTTTTCTTTACCAGAATATGTGGCCTCACAGGATTCATCTATAAATTATAAAGTAGGGAATGATCCCCTTTGGAAGTTGATGAAAATATTCATGATAAACATGACATAATCAGATATTTTCAGGAGGTTGGGTTTGGTAGTTATTGTCTCTCACCTTGTTCACCAGTCTGTTCTATCCCCTCAGGGCTGACTGTCTTGAAGGAGTTTGAGCTCTATTTCTGTCATGTGCCTTCACAATGTTGTTGTCAGGTGGTTTATAACATCTGCAGACGTCCAAGTCCCCAATCAAACTCCTTAAAATCAGATATTTACACAGTTGTGGGTGTGCCTTACTCCTAGGTTGGGGGACCCTGTAAGGTATCCTGGGGAGGTGCCCTGGGACTCCTGTACCCTCCAGGACCAACAGACCTCTGAGAGAAAGACGATGTGGGTAGGTGGTTCTCCTGAACATGCCCCTGGGCAGCAGCAAAGCAGACAGATCCCGGACTCGGTCTGATGCTAGGATGCTGACAGTACATGCTATAGAAGTCAGGCCAATGCATCACCTTTCACACCCTAAGATGACGCTTGCTCCATCCCCTGTCCGGTGAGGGCGTGCGAGGCGGTGGGATCGGAGGAAGGAAAGTCCCCGAGACGACGGCTCAGCAGAATGTCTCACCACACTCAGAACAGAGCACACATTCCCCCCAAATCTCATGATGCACCCAGGTTATCAAAGCAAGCATCACTGTCCTCTCTCCTCCGATGCCATCCCACCTGCATCACCCACTAGGTGGTCAGGCCTCTGGCACCATCTACCCAGTGACTGATGACTCATAGGAAGTTCAAGCCTGATTGGTTCTTTCCTCAGACTCTGTCTGATTCTGGGGTCATAGCAGACAACTTTAGCCACAGTCTCTACTGTTCACCTGGCAGCCCGGCTTAGGGAGTCCTCCATCCCCTGCTACTATTTCCTCCCCTCACCCACCCTTCCAGCTCCACGATGGTCCCGGGGCTCCCTGTGGCCCTCTGGATAGCAGTTTTGACGGTGTTGCTGAGCAGAGGGATCCAGGGTGGGGCTCCTCCAGGTAAGACGGAGCACAGCGGCGACTCCGGAGGGTCTGGCTCAGGACCGTCCCCTCATAGACATGGGGCTTCTCCTAGCTTCTCCTACAACCTCCCTTCCCAGCTAGAAAAGCAGGCTGTTCAGTCAGTGTGTCCCATGCCCAGGCGCATAGACACAGTAAACCAGGCAGAAGTGTTGGGGGTTGACATACATGTCTTATGGACAACGGGCCCAGAGCTCTAGAATGCGTTCACAAGGCAAGGTTTATGGAGAGGTCAGAAGTCTCCGCCTCCTGGGTTTCCCCACACCCCCAACACAGCTTCGAAGGAAATTAGTCACCCGACTGACTCAGTGTTAAGAGACAGTGAATGGCTCCTGCTCCTCCAGGGTGGGGCTGGAGCCTGTGCCCTTAGACCACTAATTGAGAGAAGGCAAGGCGGGCTGAGGCTCAGCCCCAATAGTGTTCTTGTGCAGGCTGACTTCCTGAGACCCTCACTAGTCTTGGAGTGGGCTGAGAACTGTGGGAGGACAAGATGAGGGTGTGCAGACACGTGAGAACTGAGTGTAGGTGACCGGCCAGCCTGCTCACGGAAGACCCGCCTCCGGTCCCCCGGCTCTTGCGGTGCTGTGGCTGATAGGTCCAGCGTTTCTCAGGAAGCCTCTTCCGTCTCCAGATTTACTCTGAGCACTGTAGGAAGAGCTGTAAGCACTAAGCTACCACATCCTGGGATGGACCTAAAATGCAGTGCCTTCGTTTTGCCTGTTTTTCTGGAACAACTGCATTGAACCCCTGAGTCCAGACCTTGAGACCCAGGGCTTCTCCTGAGATATCAGGTGCACTTGCTGAGGAAGGCAAGAGGACCTGTCCTTGCTGGTCACAGAGGCTGTGAGACCCAACTTAGGGACCCACTCGGCTGTGGAAGCTGTGCCTTTAAGGTCCTGGCAGTCAGAGAGTGATGTCACCAAGGGAAAGGGCTTAGCAGCTGGGGAGGGAAACCCTGCACGGTTAGGTTCTATCTGCTTCATGGCTACCTTCCATTTACAAAGGTTAAGTACTGCCAAAGAAAAGTTTGAAAGCTATTTTCCTTGCTTGCTAACATGTTATATAGGAGGAATAAAAACTAATGAATTAAAATGAGAAGACCTGCATGCAGGGTGGGGCAGGCAGACAATGAGCGGCAGGTGGCTGGGGAGGGGGAATGATGGCCCCGGGCTCTGGGCTGAGTGAGAGACGCCTGCCTTGGAGGCAGGTCAGGACTTCTGAACAGAGTGTGGGTCTGGCTCTTACGGTGCCCTTAGATTTTCCCACCCTTCCCCTATCCTCTGGCCCAGCTGGGCAGGTCCTTCTGAGTCCGCCAGGATGAGCCAGTTGTTCTGGCGTTGCTATGGTGATGGGGAACACCAGAGCATCCATCCCATAGTTGTCTCTCCCTGCACCTGCTCTCCGGGTTTGTTTGCTCTTGACCTCATGGTGTTTCCCAGTGTCTGTAGCTACAGCAAACAGTGCTGATTTGTCTGGGCTCTGGGCTCCTGTCTTTGGCTTTAGCCCCCTTCATCTCTGTCACCCCTGACAAGGACAGAAAAAGTCAATTAATTAACAATCATCTCATGTCAAATGCACTGGCCGTCCACCAGTGTGTTAACCACGCAGCTCAGAAGCTGTGGGGTGGAGCAGCCTTGGCCTTAACTTCTGGTATCTTCTGTTGTTATGGTTTTTTGAGAGTCCAGGCTGGTCTCAAGCTTTCCACAATGCCCCTGCCTCAGTTTCTCCAGTGCTGGAATTGCAAGCATACTCCACCAAACCAACACACAATATGCTTTTAAATGAAGCGATACCTTATTTAGTTTAGTTTAACGTGTTTATTAGTTGCAGTGCTGGGAATGGGACTCAAGGCAAGCCTACAAGGCAGAGCTGCTCCTGGCCCCAGGCTGCTGGTTAGAAAACACGGTAATGAACGGTTTAGAGCTCCCTCTTGTGGTACAAACGCGACAGTCTGTTTAATCTTCTGATCTGGACGGATTGTGTTGGAGCCCATTGTTGGGCGCAGAAAGAAGGCCGGAATTGCTTTGAGATGGTAATTTGCAGGGGGTGGAACGTGAACAACCACACCATCTCCGCTTCCCTCGTTTGAGTAAGAACAGACAGACCCACAGAGGCTCGCACAGGGCAGACAGAATGGACCCACACTGCTGGCGGCTCCTAGGAAGAGAGGGAGGGTTCCCATGCTCCTTTCATAACAGTTACCAGGCCTCTAGGAACAAGGGGACCCATAGGGCTCTGCTCTGGTGATTTTCAGTGAGTAAGGTCCAGGGCAATATCCACCCCTCCCCACCAGACCTGGTTGCCCCAAGTTTTACGGCAATCTTCCCGTCTCTGCATCCTTAGCTCTGGGATTCCACGTGAGAGATACTATGCTGCTATTCCAGATCTTTTAAAAACTAATTTCATATTTTTTATTTACTTATGTGTGTGGGTGTTTTGCCTGCATGCTGTTGTGCACCATATGTGTGCCTGGTACCAACAAAGGTCAAAAGAGTGCATTGGACTCCCTAGAACTGGAGTTGCAGGTGGTTGTGTGCAGCTCTGTGAGAGGTGCTGGGAACTGACCCCAAGTCCTCTGTGAGAGCGTCAAGTATGTTTGTTTGTTTGTTTGTTTGTGGGAGGGGGTTTCGAGACAGGGTTTCTCTGTGGTTTGGAGCCTGTCCTGAAACTCGCTCTGTAGACCAGGCTGGCCTTGAACTCACAAAGATCTGTCTGCTTCTGCCTCCTTAGTGCTGGGATTAAAGGCATGCACCACCACCACCTAGCGCATCAAGTGTTCTTAACTGCTGATCCATCTCTCAAGCCCTAATCGGTTTCTTAAGTTATCATGCACAGAGGTGAATTTCCTCATGGCGTTTCTACACATGCAGTCCACACCTTTTAAGACCAAGCCTTGCCGCGTGCAGTCACAGAAGGTGAAATAAATAAATAGCTCCTTAGCTTTTAGACTAAAAAGTTTCATGCTATATCTTATATTTATGGGTTTATTTCTGCATTCCCAGCATGCAGGAGTAGTCAAGACATTGGCACAGACAGGAAAGCACCTTGCTATGGGGAAGAGAAGGGGAAAGGGGAGGCTCCTGGTGGAGGTGACATTTGACTGTGTCCAAGGTGGCCGGGTCAGGCAGGAGTCCCCACAGAGAGAAGGATCAGTGCCTCTCCCAGGACCCCAAACCCTCCCCTGCAGCCTCACTTCTTAGGGACTCCTGGTGGCCCCATGTGAAGTGTCACCCAACCCAGCAGCTCACAGAACTGTAACCTCAGTGCCTCAACCCTTCTCACTGGTACTGGTGTCCCCTCTACAGGGAGTCCCTTTATGCCCTGTGAACCTCACCATGAGGCAGCCAACGCCTAGGGAGCTGCTGGAAGAAGAAGGCTGTGTGTGTGTACCCACGCAGGAGAGAGTTTTTACCTGCGTGTATGTTTGTGCATCACTAGTAGTGTGCCTGGTGCCACTGGACGCCAGTGGCTTTGATCTCCTGAAACTGGAGGTCCAAATGGCTGTGAGCCACCATAGGGGTGCAGGTCCTCTGCAGGGGCAGCAGTGCTTTTAACCACCCAGCCTCCGTCCAAGCCCCAGATCATTTCTTTTTGAATGTGTGGTCATTGATAGTGTCCCATGCTCCAGTAGATGGCCCCACAGCCGTGCACGCACCGGCAGCACTAACTAAACTTAGAGGGAGAGAGAGAGTAAGACAGAAAGGGGAGGAGAGAAAGTGGGAGAGAGAAGCGAGAAGGAGGAGAGAAGAAGAGAGAAAGGGAAAGGCGGGGTCCCAGCGCCCCAGGTCTGACTTCTGATGCCCGCAGAGAACCACCTGCTGCGCGCGCTGCACGAGTGCTACGCGGAGAACAACGGGACGCAGCGCTACATCATGAGATGCATCTTTGACCGCGAGGAGTTCATGCGCTTCGACAGCACCGTGGGCGAGTTCCGCGCGCTCACCGCCATGGGGCGGCCGTGGGCCGAGTCCTGGAACAGCCAGAAGGACTACATGGAGCGACGGAGGGCCGAGGTGGACACGGTGTGCAGACACAACTACGAGCTGAACCAGGCCTTCACTGTGAAGCGCCAAGGTGAGATCCGGGTGGAGAACAAATCCAGGCGGGAGCTACAGCAGCAGCCCCGGGGGACCGACCGGGTGGGAGCAGGGGGAGCCTTGGGGGAAAGAGGCCAGAGCAAGATTATGAACAGAGGTGGGAATAGGCAATATCAAGAGCGTTGTCGCGGTCTGTAACCAGCAGGCTGTAGGGTGAAGGAAGCCGGGCCATGGACAATCACAGGGGACTGTGGGGAGATGGGCATCAAGTGCCACCTCCTAGCAGCACAGGCCGTGTGCAGCCGACTTGGTAGGGCTGCAGGGGACGGGACTCAGGCCTCAAGGACAGATGTAGGAGGGTCTGCCGGGTGAGGTCATCTAGGGAGACCAATCAGTAAAGAGAATAAAGCTGAGTCCTGGGGACAGCGGACTGGTGCTAAGGGGCAGTAGTCCCTGTGAGGAGCCCGCGAAGTGAAGCAAACAGGGGGCAGAGAAGTGTCACAGGTATACAGGATAACAGACAAGAGGGGGCCAACAGTCAGAAGTCGGCAGAAGCTGAGGGATCGGGAAATCGGAGAGAGCTGACTGGGGGTAGACACTGCGGTCGGGCGGGGTAGACACTGCGGTGTGTGTGTGGGGGGGTAGACACAGCAGTCGGGAGAGGGGGTTAGACACTGCGGTGGGGGCGGTAGACACAGCGGTCAGAGAGTCGGGGAGAAAGATCAGCTGTGCGGGACTCCGCAAGGCTGGGAGAAAAGAGCCCTGGCTCTGAGCCCCTCAACTTTTGGAGTGAAGGAGCCTGGTAAGCATCCCGAGGAAACCTGAGAAATGGGGAGCCCTCCGCAGGCACAGGGGAGAATGTGTGGGGACATGCCTTTAATACTCTCTTTAGAAATCGGGACTCCCAGTCATCGGCTAAGCCTGACTCCCAGGAATGAGTGAGAACCTGGACAGATTGGGAAAGAATCGGAACAGTGACCTGAGCTGTGGGTTGCCCTCAACTGCAGGCTGGCACCCTTTCCTTCGGTGTGCTCGGTTGCCAGGATGCAGAGAGCCCTGGGTGAATCACCCCAGAGTGTCCCCACTCGCTCTGCTCCGCACCGCCCAGATCCACACTTGGCGGCGCTGAGGTTCCAGGACGGCCGGTGCTAAGTGCTGGCAGACCCTGAGTACGGCTGTTGAGACCGGCTCACTGTGTAACCCAGGCTGGACTAGAACTCACCACCCACCAGACTCAAGAAAGTCCTAGGATTGTAACTGGGCGTGCCCCACACGGAACCGTTGTAGAAGCAGGGGGTGTCAGGGCTGCAGCTGTGTTCTCAGAGTGCTAAGTGAGCAGGGAAGAGAAAAGGTGGAGCAGTGGATAAGGAATTAACATCCTAGCAATAGTAACGACAGCATTAATTATGAGAGGAAAGACCTTTGCAGTTTAATCTTAAAATTACTCAAACTAAATAACCAAATAATCAATAAAAACAAAACAAAATGAGCAAGAGTTATGAAATTTATTTCTTTTTTTTTTAAAAAACTTTATGTGTGCCGGGCGGTGGTGGCGCACGCCTTTAATCCCAGCACTCGGGAGGCAGAGGCAGGCGGATCTCTGTGAGTTCGAGACCAGCCTGGTCTACAGAGCTAGTTCCAGGACAGGCTCCAAAGCCACAGAGAAACCCTGTCTCGAAAAACCAAAAAAAAAAAAAAAAAAAAACTTTATGTGTGCAGGTGTTTTGCTGGTGTGTCTGTCTGTCTGTCTGTGCACACTGTATCTGTATCTGTTGGTGCCCGAGGTGGCCAGAAGAGGCTATCAGATCCCTTGGAACTGGAGTTCCAGTTGTGAGTTGCCATATGGGTGCTGGGGATTGAACCTGGGTCCTCTGGGACAGTAGCCGGTGCTCTTAACTGCTGAACCATCTCCATCCCAGTCCCCCTTGAGAAAGAATCTCTGTAACTCCGACTACCCCAAAGTTATGGGTTTTTCCTCCTTTTTGCCTCGGGAATGCTTGGATTCACAGGAGTGCATCGCTGCACCCATCTGGACTAGGTGTCTAGTGTGGGTAACTGAGAAGATTCTAGAAACAATCATATAGATGCTCAGTGGCCATTCAGCATGCAGCCATAAGACATGGGAAATCTCTTGTCTTCATGAATATATTTTTTAAAGTAGAAAGTCCCTTAGGCCTGTAGATTTAGCTCTAGTGCCCCCTAGAGGCCAGTTGTGTTACTACAGGCACAAAACAGACAAGCTTGAAGTTCAGGAATTCAAATGGAGGGAAGGAGTTGAATGAAGAACTGTGGAGTTATGAAAGTGACCCAAGTGGCTCTAAAAGGGCATCTCCTTGAGTTTCTAGCAGTGTGGGCAGCCTGGCCTGAGGCCAAGAGCCAATGGACAACGGACACTGTGAGGAGCATGCCCCCATTGTCAGTCAGGAGCGAGCCCCATTGTGAGGAGTGTGCCCCCATTGTCAGGGTGTTGATGTAGATACTAGGTGTAGATACTAGAAACAGAAAGGCCTTGGGGCCAGGACTCTGCCTGTGGAAATCCCCCCGCACCAGCCTTTCTGCATGGCAGGTTACTGTTTTCTAGCCTCTAAGGGGGAAGCAACCTGGTGGCAGGCATCCAAAAGCAGCAGCTCTCTGGAGGGCTGTGAGGTCACAGGGAGTGGACAGCAGGCATGGATGCTGAGTTTGAGCATCAGGGGGAGTGGACGAGGGGAGAGACATGCAGAGACCTCCCTCTGTGCCTGACTTCCTGAGCACCCACAAAACAGAAGAGGAAGTTGGGAGTGGTTGAGAATTCTTACACAGGGAGCTCAGAGTGCTGTTTCAAAGGCTGTGAATAGTGAGGTCTTGGAGGTTATACCAACCCAAGGTCGTAAAATACATAGATTGTTTTGTGAGTCCCATGAGACTTGTCTCGTGTGTTAGATTAGGGGTGGGCTGGGAAGATGGTTCCACGGTTATGAGTGAGCTCTGCTCTAGCAGAAGGCCCAAGTGTGGTTCTCAGCACCCATACCAATGCCACAAGCACCTGTAATTTCTGGCCTCCTCAGGCACTGCATCCTCGTGCACAAACCCACACACAAGCACACCTATAAACATAATTCAATTTTTGAAATGTTTGAAAACATTTAAAATAGAAAGCCAACGAATGCTTTTGTCCTTACATTAACTTCAAGAAATTACTCAAGGGGCTGGTGAGATGGCTCAGCGGTTAAGAGCACTGACCGCTCCTCCGGAGGACCCAGGTTCAATTCCCAGCACCCACATGGCAGCTTGCAGCTGTCTGTAGCTCCAGTTCAAGAGACTCTGACATCGTTATACCAATGTGCATGAAATAAAGTTGTTGGTTTTTAAAAAAAGAAAGAAAGAAAGAAATTATTCAAGGGCTGGAGAGATGGCTCAGTGGGTCCGACAGAGGACCCAGGTTCAATTCCCAGCAACCACATGGTGGCTCAGAACCTCTGTAACTCCAGTTCCGAGGGATCCGTCACTCCTCTCACCTCCCAGGGCACCAGGCATGCACAGACATACATGCAGCAAAATGTTCATACACATAAGATAACATAAATAAATCTTTAAAAATTAATTTTAAGAAATTATTTGAATGAATCCTACATCCTTCTCACCATGACAAAAGTTGAAAAAGTGGGAGTCTCACTGGAAAAAAACAACAACAACCCTGGAACTCACTCTGTAGACCAGGCTGGTCTCGAACTCACAGAGACCCACTGCCTCTGCCTCCGGAGTGCTGGGATCAAAGGCGTGCGCCACAGAGTCACACTCTCACAAGCCACTCCTTTCCCGCTCCTAGTTCAGCCTAAGGTACACGTGTCACCCTCCAAGAAGGTCAGCCTGAAGCAGCACGGCCTGCTGGTCTGCCACACCACAGACTTCTACCCAGGCAGCATTCGAGTCCGCTGGTTCCGGAATGGCCAAGAGGAAACTGCCGGAGTCGTGGCCACCAACTTGATCCGAAACGGGGACTGGACCTTCCAGATTCTGGTCATGCTGGAGATGACCCCTCAGCGGGGAGACGTCTACACCTGCCACGTGGAGCACCCCAGCCTGCAGGGCCCCGTCACCGTAGAGTGGAGTGAGTCACCCTGGGGACCCTCCTCGATCCACATTCTGTAGAGCTGGCAGCACCCTGGCTCATGGTTCCCGATACTGCCCTAAGTGTTTGCATGTGGGGTCTTGACCGTCCCCGTACTTCCTAGAGGCCCCCAAAGTTGGTTCTGAGCTGGAGGCCTGAGAGGAGAGCCTGTCCCTGGCCTGCGGATCTGCCCTTGTCAGAAGTCTAGGGAGGCAGACATCCCCTGCCCCGCCCTCACACTGGGCCTGACTTCCTCATTCTGTCTGTAGTCTGTCCTTGTCTGAGAGGCAGCTGCCAGAATCCACACTCGTGCCCATTAGAAGACACCAGCCTAGGCTAGATCTCGGGGCCCTTCTACGTATTCTCCCCCACAGTGTGTCCCTCTTGGTGACCCTTGTTTTGGTATCCTGCTCCCTACCAGAGGGCAGTCAGGAGTGGTGTGCCTGCTGAGAGGACACAAACCCTGAATTCTCCTTTCCAGAGGTCGGGTCTGACTCTGCCCGAAACAAGACGCTGATGGGAGTGTCTGGCCTGGTGCTGGGACTCCTCTTCCTGGCGGTGGGCATCACCATGCAGTTGAAACGCAAGAAGGGTGAGAATTGTGTGGAGCCGCTGCCTCTAATGCCAGCACAGGCAGGAGGGTCGCAGGTTCAAGGCCTGCCTGGGCTACACAATGAGACTCGGTCTCAGCCCAGACACCGAAGATGTGAAATGAAGAATCCAGGCAGGTGGCTAGAATCGTAGCAAGTGGCATCCTAGCAAGTGGCTGAAGCTAGCCTAGAATCCAGGCAGATGACTGGGGCTAGCTTAGAATCCTGGCAGGTAGTTGGAGCTAGCCTAGAATCCTGGCAGGTGACTGGGCTAACCTTTCCCTGATACACCTTCCTGTCTACAGAAGAGCCAAAGGCAGAAAAATGATATTGGAGAGTTCTAGAAGCCACTGGAACTGGTTGTCCTGTAGGGAGAGAGGAAACCCCAGCCTGGGGTCTGACCACTAGGCTACAAGGTCCCCAGGTTCCCAGGCTTCTTCAGGGAACTTGCAGTGAAGGAGGTGTGGAGGGATGGGAGGCTCTCTCACCATCGGAGGGGACTTCACAGCTGAATGCCTTCCCGTTCATCCCCTCATTCAGCTCAGCTGAGATCTCCAGGATCTCCGTGAGCAGGTAAGATGCTGTGCCTGTCTCCTTGTGGTCAGAACATCTCAGGCCTGAATTCCCCTCTCAGGCTCAGCCCCTGAGGGAGTATGGGGAAGAGTGGGGCTCCCACCACTGAGGAAGGAAGCTGAGGTAAGTTGTTCTTACAAGTTTACACTCAGCCTTTTTTTTTCTTTTCTTTTCTTTGGATTTTTTGAGACAGGGTTTCTCCGTAGCTTTTTGGTTCCTGTCCTGGAACTAGCTCTTGTAGACCAGGCTGGCCTCAAACTCACAGAGATCCACCTGCCTCTGCCTCCCGAGTGCTGGGATTAAAGGCGTGCGCCACCACCGCCCAGCAACACTCAGCCTTTTTAAAGACTACTTAGTTTTATTTTGAGGGTGAAAGCTTGTATCCATGTGTGTCTGTGCACCACCTGCATGCTGGTGCCTGCTGAGGCCAGCAGAGGGCGTCAGATCCCTTAGAACTAAAGTTACAGATGGTTGTGAGCCACCATGTGGGTGCTGGGAACTGAACCTGGGTGCTCTTAACCCCTGAGCTGTCTCTCCAGGCCCCAACACTGTCTTACAAGGTCTTAATTTCTCTGTCCTGGGACTTAGAAGAGGAGAAGACAGAATCACAGTGACATGTTTTCCTCCATAGTGCTTAGAAAAAAGCTATTTCTGAGTCATAAACAGATGCACGCGCACACACACACAGATGCACAGACGCATACATGCACAGAAATTTTTCAAGGGCATGTCCTCACTGATCTCTTCCTCCGACCAGGTTCCACCTTCCATGGTGTCCACCAGCTCCCGACAGTCCACGAACTGAGCAGAGGCTGGAGAGACAGCTCAGCAGTCAAGCACTTGAATTCCAGAGGCCCCCGGTTCAGTCCCCAGCATCCACACGCAACAGCTTTCAGCTGTCTGTAACTCCAGCCCCAAAAGACATGTTCTTCTGCCATCCGTGAATACACACATGCACATATAAATACGAACAGAAATAAACCCACCAAATAAACCCACTGACAAGCTCCAAGCCATCTATCTGTGAGCCTTTGGGAACCCTTCCAGATCCAAACCCTAACTTCAAACATGGCCTCAGAATGACCCAGTAGCTGCCACTGTAATGATCTGCCCTGTCCATTTAAGAGACAAGCCATGGCCCCCTCCGTGAGGCAAGCTGATCTTCAGCTTCCAGCCTGAGTCCCTTCCTTTTTTGTCTCCCTCTCAAAGAGGCAGCTTCTGTCTCTCCCTTCTCCCCACTTCTCCCCTTCCCCTTCTCTGTCTCTTTCTCTCTGCTTTTCTCCCTTCCCTTCCATAATCCACTAAATAAATATCCAACCTCACTATCCATGTCTCTGTCTCTTGCCCACATGGCTCCCTGCCTGGGACCAGGCACCTTCAGAGACCTGTGACGTGGTCTTGTGGCATGCCCATCTGTCTGTCTCTTCTCGTGGGACCTGCTGCCCATTGTGGCCCACTGCAGCCACTTGGGGAACTGCACCATCCCTGCCTGGGACTGGCTGCTCTTGGGACCAGCTGCCCACTGCCTGCCCCCACTCAGAGACCTGCAGCGTGGTCTCATGGCCCGCTGCCCACTGCAGCCACTCGGGATCCACAGCATTTTATTTTTCCATTGCAGCCACAGTGGGCAGACTAGGTTTATAATCTTTGTCTAAGGCTGTCTGAGTGGGCTTTATGGGAATGGGTGCAAAGATGATGCCAGAGAATTGGAGAAATGAAATCACTGCAGAGTGCAGGGCAGATGGAGGTAAAGCAACTCTTCATGGCTCATCAGCCCCCAGGATCTCAATCCTCAGAGCATAACAGACCCATTAGCAAGCTGATAAAGTTACAGAGGAAGCCAGCCCCAAGTGGTCAGGTTACCAAACCCTGCCCAGTTCTGCAGACACGGAAGCCACTGAATGTCACCGAATCCCTGTTGTGGTTTGATTGTGAGATACCCACATGGGGTCGTGAGTGTAAGATGTCCCACACGGGCTCATGGGTTTGCACACTTAGTTTCCAACTGGTGGTGCTATTTAAGACCCACAGAATCTTTAGGCGATGGAGCCTTGCTGGAGGAAGTGGAGCACTGGAGAGCTGGTCTCAAGGTTTTACAGCCCAGCCCACTTCCTGTTTGCCATCACAGTGATGACCTGACTCCCTCAGAACTGTGAGGAGCTTTTTCTCAGGGTTCTGGTCACAGTGTGAGAAGAGGAATTAATAGAGACTCTAAGACAAAGAATGCATAAGATTTAAGAACTCACTTCCTGGGGCTGGAGAGATGGTGCAGTGGCTAAAAGTACTTCCTGCTCTTGCAGAGGGCTCAGTTTGAATCCCAGTGCCACATCAGGAGGATGACAACCACCTATAACTCCAGCTCCGGGAGTCCCACCCTCTGACCTCCACCCTCTGACCTCCACCCTTTGACCTCCACCATCAGCTGCATGCACTTGGTGCACATAAACTCACAGGAGCGTGCATGTGTGTGCATGTACATACACACACACACACACACACACACACACACACACACACACGAACACTCCTCCTTTGACATATCCTCTGAGGCCGAGGAGCTTTGCCTGAAACCAAGGTCCTCTCACAAGGTGAGACAAATCCCAAGACCCTTCCTCCTAAGTCTGCTGTAGCACCAGTGTCTGGGGACACTTGCCACTGTAGTCAAAACATTTTACGCAAAGATAATATTTAAGACTCCTAAGCCAGGCATATTGATGCCTACCTGTAATCCCCAACCCTTGGGAGGCAGAGGCAGGAGCATCATTTACAGGTTTGATGCCAGCCTGGGCTACGAAGTGAGATTCTGTCTTCGAAGAAAAGAGAAGCAATCCCCTGAGACTGCGGTAAACCTTCAATAAGAAGAGCCGGCCTCTGCCTGGTTTCCAAGAGGAGATGTGGACACAGCAGGACAGTGTGTCACCATGAGCCCCACACTTGCTGGAGTGTTCATGGCTTCTGAGCCCTTCAGAGACGGAAGAGGCTGGGGTCATGACCTTCACAGGAGCTGCGGGATTGTGGAACAAGACAGGCACTCTCTCACCTCCTGTGCCTCGGACAGCTCAGGCACAGGTTAACAGTGCCGACCAGCAGGGGCTGACAGAATTACCTCCGCAGAGGGGAGGGGGCCATTTCGTTTTCTCTGAGGCTAAGACCTGAATCGTTCCTGCATCTGGGCTGCTACCCGTTCTTCATTTAGGGTGTTGTCTGATGCCATTCTCCACGAGACATGAATAAACACCTCCTCACCCCAGACAGCGAACCAACAAAGAAAGCCCAAGGTGGGGCACAAATGGCTTAAGTCTTTTGGGGTTTCTGTGGAGTGTGGATGCGGGATTTCTTACAGTCAATGACAGCTACACCGTCAAGAACCCACTCCAGCGTTGGTGATGGCTCATGAAACTGGAAACCTGGGGTGCAGGGCACAGCTTGCCAGCAGCCTGATGTGCTGGAGTCTCTTCTGGCAGCTCAGTGGGTCCGAGTGCCCCCAGCGGTTCTTTCTGCTCAGATGCACTTGAAGGGAAGGTCCTGGGAAATCTGGTCAGCTTCAGGGGCTTCCTGGAGCTTTTGAGTTGTTCATGTTCTGAGCTTTTTTTGTTGTTGTTGTTTGGTTGTTTTTCTGTTTTGGTTTTGGTTTTTTGTTTTGTTTTTAGAGACATGGTCTCTCTGTGTAGCTCTGGTTGTCCTGGAACTCTCTCTGTACAGGTTGACTTGGAACTCGTGGAGATCCGCCTGCCTCTGCCTCCTGAGTGCTGGGAATAAAGGCGTGCACCACCACTGCCCAGCCACTTCCTGGCTTTTAAGGGGTCTCCCTGCAGGATTGACAGCCCCCCTTTAGACCAGTTTGAGTTTTAACACTTCCGTACAAATAGAATGTTACACAACAAAGGACCAGAGAGACAGCCCACAAGGCTACTTCCCATAAAACTGCCATTAAATAACGATAGGACGGTTATGAGCATCCAAGTCTCTGTGATGTCACCTCCCCCCAGCAAACTGGAGGCTCTCAGAAGCTCTCCAGGAAGAAGGTGGCAGTGACTTTCACAGTTCTGCTCTATCAGGCTCACAGGAACAGCGGCCACACGCCTCAAACCTGAGTCTCTACCCTACCACATAGAAATGTCTTTGGGAGGCAGCTGGAGCCTTGCTCCTCCCTCCCTTCCTTCTCTCCATTCCCACCGAGCCTGATCCATATGAAACTGCATGTACCCAGCCAAAGCAGAGAGCAGGGAAGGCCCCGGCCTTCTAGGATATACAGTGTTCCAGGCAACAACGGCCCAAGTGTGTTGTTCTTCATGGTTTTGTTGTGTTGTTTCACATTGTTTGTGGTAGGGTTCATACTGTAGCCAGACTGCCCTCTAACTTACAACATAGCTCAGGCTAACCTCAGACTAAGCAATCCTCCTGCCTCAGCTGATGTGGGATTCCCCTCTGTATACCATGATTACCATTGGTTAATAAAGAAACTGTCTTAGGCCTGCGCAAGGCAGAACTTAGGTAGGTGGGATAACTAAACTGAATGCTGGGAGAAAGAAGGCAGAGTCAAGGAGAAGCCATGAAGCCGCTGCCAGAGACAGACATGCTGAAACTTTGCTGGTAAGCCACAGCCACGTGACATTACACAGATTAATGGAGATGGGTTAGTTTGGGATATAAGAGCTAGCTAGAAATATGCTTAAGCTATTAGCCAAACAGTATTACAAATAATGTGGTTTCTGTGTGATTATTTCGAGTCTGGGCAGCCGGGAATAAGTGACCTTCTACAACACTCAGCCTCCCCAGGTTCTGGGTTTGCAGACATATACTGCCACCCCTGGTTTTTAAGATTATTTTTAACCCATAAATCAGGAATGCCCAAAGCCAAGTAGCAGCTGCCAGGGTGTAACAGGCTAGGGGACTGCCGCTTGGTAACTCCCCCCCGACTCTTTATTCCTCCTCCTCTTCTAAGCCACCAACAGGACAGTGGGCTGTGGGGCTGTGTCACCATCCTCCCCACAATTCTGTCCTATTCTGGCCTGTTCTGGTGACACCAATGTCTCCCTCTAATTTGAGGTTTCAGTTAAACTCAGAAACAGAAATCTTTCTAGATCCATTACCTCCTACAGCAGCTGGTATGGTCTGTCCCAGATAGAACCACTGTGGAGCCTCAAAACCTTGGAGCACTTGCCACTGTCTTTCTGATTCTCCTTCATCCTCTCTCTCTCTCTCTCTCTCTCTCTCTCTCTCTCTCTCTCTCACACACACACACACACACACACACACACACACACACACACACAGAAATGTCCTCTGCCCCAAGCCATCAGAGCTACTGCCAGCACCCACATGCCTACATGTCAGGACACCCCAGAATACCAGCTCAGACTCTCTGCCCTTCGGCTCCTCCCACCCTACCTGAGGGCCAGGCCCAAGGTTCCTAGAGAGAAAGGAGAGGCCACTGCAGGGAGAGGCTGTGAACCTGCCGTGCAGCTGCCACTTGGCAGAGCTGCTTAGAACTCTCCGATCGGGTTGGTTGGCAGAGTAATTTTATAGCCTGTTGTGGGTTGGCCTGGGGACCTAACTCCAAATGTAAAAGTTATTTGAGTAATGGTGTGGCATTGTTTCCATGGAGAAAAGCTGTTGGAGTTCAAAGCAAAAGTGATCTTTGGGGACACTCCCCTCTGTGCTCTATGGGTGACCTCTGCGGTTTAGTACCAGCTGCAGGGAGCCCTGGCCAAACCTCAGCTCTGGCCCAGCCCTGCTGGGAAGGAGGGTGGGTGGGGAGGATGAGCGTCTCTGGGGCCAGGGAGAGAGCCGGGGAGGGAGAGGTCTCTCTCCAGACTTAACTATAGACATGGAAAGGCACACGGGATCCCCAAAATTCCATCCACTGTGGCACTGGGTAGATGAGGTGATCACACACACACACACACACACACACACACACACACACACTTCAGTCCTCTTAGGGGCTGAGGAATAAGAAATAAATCGATGGGCAAAGAAGGAGAAAAGATTTCATGATATCATAGGCCTGCATTGCTCTGGGTTGTTTGTTTTTGAGACAGGGTGTCTATATGTAGCTCTGGGGCATGAAATTTGTGTAGACCAAGTTGGCTTTGAACTCAGTGATCTACTTGTCTCTGCCTCCCAATGCTTTTAAAGGCATGTGCCATCATGCCCCCAACTGTATCATTCTGATTATTTTGCAGTGGGGAAAGACAACTTAAGTAGTTGACAGGAGAGACAGAAAGGCAGAACTGAGGCATTCAGATGCAGGAGGGATCTCCACCTGCACTGTCATCTCCACCTGTGCTCTCTGCACCTGCACTGTCTGTGCCTGCGCTGCCTGCGCCTGCGTTGTCTGTGCCTGCAATGTCTGCACCTGCACTGTCTGCGCCTGCACTGTCTGTGCCTGCACTGGGGTCTCCACCTGTGCTCTCTGCACCTGCACTGTCTGTGCTGCGCTGTCTGCGCCTGCGTTGTCTGTGCCTGCATTGTCTGCGCCTGCAATGTCTGCACCTGCACTGTCTGTGCCTGCACTGTCTGTGCCTGCGCTGTCTGTGCCTGCGCTGTCTGCGCCTGCACTGTCTGCGCCTGCGCTGTCTGTACCTGCACTGTCTGCACCTGCACTGTCTGCGCCTGCGCTGTCTGCACCTGCACTGTCTGTGCCTGCATTGTCTGTGCCTGCGCTGTCTGTACCTGCACTGTCTGCGCCTGCGCTGTCTGCACCTGCACTGTCTGTGCCTGCATTGTCTGTGCCTGCACTGTCTGCGCCTGCACTGTCTGCGCCTGCATTGTCTGTGCCTGCACTGTCTGCACCTGCACTGTCTGTGCCTGCAATGTCTGCACCTGCACTGTCTGTGCCTGCACTGGGGTCTCCACCTGTGCTCTCTGCACCTGCACTGTCTGTGCCTGCACTGTCTGCGCCTGCACTGTCTGCACCTGCACTGTCTGTGCCTGCACTGGGGTCTCCACCTACGCTGTCTGCACCTGCATTGTCTGCACCTGCACTGTCTGCACCTGCGCTGTCTGCACCTACACTGTCTGCACCTGCACTGTCTCCATCTACACTGTCGCTGCCTGCACTGTCTCCTGCACTGGGGCCTCCACCTGCAACTGTCTCCATCTGTGTTGAGTCTGCACCTACCCTGAGTCTGCCCCTCACTAGGGTCTCCACCTGCACTGAGTCTCCACCAGCACTGGGGTGTCTACCTGCACTAAATTTTCCCCCTACGCTGAGTCTACACCTGCGGTGAACTCTATCTCCACTGAGTTTGCACCTGTACAGGGGTTGGGGGGGGGCTCCTAGCATTAAAAATGGTTGGGGTCCAAAGTTCCATGGTTTTGCCCTCCAGCAGAAACTGTCCTGGTGGTGCAGACTGGGACTCACCACAGGGAAGTATTGGCGATGGGGGTGGGGATGAGGTGAGTGTTGGGTGCAAATGGGCAACATTCAGCCACCCCATCCACAGGTCACAGATGGACTGGACAAACACATGTGGCCTCCCTCCTCAGTAAGGAGGGCATCCCAATTGGGTAAGGCCCTGGGGTAACTCTCAACCTCCAATCGACAGACAAGAGCAAGCAATGCTGTATGAGGGTGGGAAGCCCCAGGAGAGCAGGAGGCCCCTAGGGGTACCCAGCACCCTAGGATCTCCTAACCAGAGCAGACCTGAGCTACTGAGCAAGCCCAGAGAAATGCATCTTGGGAAGGAAGGAGGTCAGCAGTCCCTAGGCAGAGAAACTGTATACATACATGAAGCCCCATGGAATAAAAATGCGTGTGTGTGTGTGTGTGTGTGTGTGTGTGTGTGTGTGTGTGTGAAAACATGTACATGTAGGAGACCTGACTTCAGTTTTGGCTTTGGACAACAGAACATGGCAAGCCTGGGGAATACAGTATGTCTTGGAAAATGTGCAGAAGTTGATGACTTGGAAATGGGCAAAGTTACCCCTTGCACAGAATTTAGACTGAACCACCCAGAGTTTCTTCTAACTCTGAAGACCTAAGGGCAACTGTATTTGTGGGCAGTTGGGGAGGCAAAGCTCACATAAGCAGTGGCAACCCTGTGCTGGATCAGAGCCTGTGTATGATGTCACTGGGAGCATCCATTTGGGGATCTGTTCTTGACACCCAGGCTGTATAAGCCCCGGGACCCGCTGGGGAACTCCTGTGTGTAGGATGAAGGCAGCCTTTTGGGGGGACAGGAGTGCTGTAGGAACCTGGGGAGGCTGAAATAACAACGCGAGCACCAACACACACCCAGGAGACAATCACATTATTTAACCGTCAGTCAGAGGGGCTTGGGCACAGGGCTAGTGGGCTCCTGGGAGTCCCTTCTGGCCATAGGCTAGACATTAGCCCTCCTCAGCATCAGGGAGGTGAGGAGGTGCCCAGGGAAGAAACTGTGCGGCCAGGACAGTGCCCAGAGCCTTGATGACTTCAGCCCCTGGGAGAATCAGTATCTCAATAACCTGCCCAAGGCAGGCCCTGCACAGGCCTCTGGTCTGGTGTCCCCGGAGAAAGGGCCGGTCTTAAGTGGCAGGCCATTCCTGACGGGACAGTTGGGTGACAGAACTTCCTCCCTGGGGAGCGAGAGCTGGAGCCCTGAGGCAGGGGAGTGTGTGTGTTCCAGCATTCTTAGCACCCCAGGTGGATGTGAGGAAGGGGGTTCACTAAGGAAAACCCTGAGGGGAGAGTGGGGTGCTGGCCCACCCTTGCAGCACCTGTCCCCAGTATCTGCTGGTTTCGGGCATTTCTCTCTTTATCTTTGTTACTTTTTTTTTCTCTCTTTAAATAATTAATATAATTCCTTTTTTTAAATACAAAATACACAGTGTCCTTTCTCTTCCACTTGTTTGGAGGGACAGGGAACTGCTTTAAATAAAGGTCTCAGCTCTCTAATAGGTCACAAGTGGGGGAGCCGAAGGCCCAGGTGCCACCCTTCCACTGGGCTGTCCCAGCATGCCCTGGTTCACCCCACCCCTGGCTGCTGCCCCTGACTTGAGGCTTGAGGTGCCCTGGCCCAAGGTCCCCTAGATGACGAGGGGTTTCATGGGAGGTGGCGTGAAGTTCATGCTGTGTGACTCCAGGAGGGTCTGCTTTTGGTTGACAGGGTCAGCAAGGGCCTAGCCCATGAAGCACACAGGCCCCAGAAGCACGCCTCCCCGCCTTGTGGGGGACCCCAGGTCTGAGAAGGAGGCATCCCGCACAGGCAGCTGCTCCAGCACCGGCGTGCGCACCTCCAACACTGTCCGGCCTTGCTGGGTCTAGACAGAGAGACAGGGAAGGAGAGCTATGAGCATGGGGGAGAAGCCGGCAATGGACCCCAACCCAGCCCCCAGGCTCGCCTCTCCTGAGAATCCTGACCACACCCAGATGGTTCCAGATGTATGGACTAGGTACATCAATGTGTTGCCCCCCATGTGCCTCTGTCGGGCACCTGAAGGTCCACAAACACATGCGCTTGTGTAACTGCATCAACGCTGGTGTGTGTACACACACGAGGCCACCTAGATGGCTCACACAAGTTCAACTCCCACTCCCCCCTTAGCTCTTTAAGCTCCTGCCCCTCAGGCACAGCTGACACCCGGAAGCTGGGCTCCTCCCTACTGTCCCTAGGCATCCCACCGAATGCTCTCCCCATCTTCTTCCTGTAGCCCAAATCGGGGATCTGCCACCCACCCAGCATCTCTGGTTCCCACCTGACAGCCGTCTCTGAACTCCTTAACATAGGGGCTGGTCTCGGGGCTCAGTTCATCCTCATTGGCCCCCCGGAGTCTCAGGGGGCCATCCTGGGATACTACAGAGCAAGGGTAGGAGACATCCTGGTGGGCGGAGACGCTGAGCAGACGCAGGAAGGTGAGCTGGACCACGCCCACTGGGGAGCCCTCAGAGTCCACATAGGAGAACTGGGGAGAAAGAAGAGTCAGGGGAGACTCTGTGGGCTCCAGGGAGCAGCCATAGGCGGAGTTAAGAGTCGGGGGAGACACTAAACACTGAGGGGTTCCGGGAAGCAGCCACAGACGGGGTAAGGAACAACAAACTTCAGTCTTGGGATTCCAGGAAAGAAGACAAAGCATCAAAGGTCACACAAAAAGAAATGAAGGGTCAGGATGGGCAAGAGCTGGCAGACTGAGGGCCAATCAGCTCGCACCTGTGTGATGTCATCCCTAGGTGTAACACAAGTCTCCCCTCCTGCTGTAAAGTTGCAGAACACCCGGAAGGCATCCCGAGAGCAGCCCTGGTTGGGGTCAACCCAGTACTCTCCTGTCGGGTGAAACACAGGGAGGTCAGGTCCCAGGTCCCAGATGATCCTCCATCTCCGTGCTCCCTTCCCTCCCCTGCCCAAGGCTCCCAGCCAGAGCCACGGCCCAGGCTCCCACTCACAGCCCTGTGACACCCCCAGCCCTGCCTCAGTTTACTTATCACCCCGCAGCCCACCCCAGTCTCTGGTTGGTGCCTGCAGCTCCAGTGTTGGTTCTGGGCTCCCCTGTGGGAGGAGTGTGATCTGTGTGAATGCAGGTGTGTGCACACATGTATGTGTTGACTCTCATGGGTGCTACTGCCTACAAATGGAGCCACATCAGCTGCTAAGACCCCAAAGCACTTCTCACACAGTCACCTGTGACTGTCACACACCTGTGACTGCTACACACCTGTGACTGTCACACACCTGTGACTGCTACACACTTGTGACTGTCACACACTTGTGACTGTCACACACCTGTGACTGTGACACACCTGTGACTGCTACACACCTGTGACTGTCACACACCTGTGACTATTACACACCTGCAACCAGTTCCTGTTAGATACCACTCCATATTAGCGCCTCTCCAGCGCCGTCCCTAAGACCCCCCCCACTCCAGCGCCGTCCCTAAGACCCCCCCACTCCAGCACCGTCCTTAAGACCCCCCACTCCAGCGCCCTTCCTAAGACCCCCCACTCCAGCGCAGTCCCTAAGACTCCCCCCACTCCAGCACTGTCCCTAAGACTCCCCCCACTCCAGCACTGTCCCTAAGATCCCCCACTCCAGCGCCGTCCCTAAGACCCCCCCCCACTCCAGCGCAGTCCCTAAGACTCCCCCCACTCCAGCACTGTCCCTAAGATCCCCCACTCCAGCAGCCACTGGGCCGTCCCCAGCCTGAGGCCAATGCTGACCATCAGGAAGCTCGGGGTGACACAGCTTCAGGTCCTGGCAAGTGCGAGCAGGGCTGTCCTGGGTCCCTGTGGGCTTCCTCATCTGCTCAATCTCCTCCCGCAGAGAGTCCAGTGAGCCAAAGATCTCCTCCAGCCCGGCAGGAGTGCCTGGGGCACCACCAGTGGGCTCAGCCTCGTCGTCCTGCATCAGTTGGCTTCCGTCCACAGAGCGGCGGGTCTTCTTGGGCATCTGGATGGGCAGTGGCTGGATCACCTCACCCGGGGGCCCCTGGATGGGGACAGAGGTGCAGTGAGGTCACGGGGAATGTAGAGCGGACGGGTGTGTCAGGCTGCCCAGCCAGAGCAGCCGGTACTGGGCACTGCCTGCTCTCCCCACTCACCGGGTGTCCTGGGGGGCCCTGCACGCCCTTCTCTCCCTTAGGTCCGGCTGGGCCCTAACAAAGAAATTAATGAGGTCAAGGAGGGGTCAAGAGGTGAAGCATAGGCTGGAGGTCACAAAAGGGTCAAACTGGTCTCTTGTTGGAAATGAGGGGTTCCCCGCTGCGAAGAGGGGGAATGTGTGTGTTTGCCCTGCAGAGACAGGATTAAGCCCAGCTCAGGGAGGGCAAAGTCAAAGCTAAGAGGTCACTCACTGTGGCTCCTTTGGCTCCTTTGGGGCCAGCGGGTCCCTGTAAATAAACAGAAGGGGTCAGCAAAGGAAAGGACACAGGAGTGGCAAGACAAAGTCACAAGTCCATGGACCCTGGGTTTCCACATGAGGGACATGGATACACCAGAAGAGAGCCGCGGGGCACTGAGAGCCGTACTGGGACGTCTGCAGTGGGGTGAAGGGGTTAGGAGGAGAGGTAGATGGCTCACTTACAGGCAGGCCAGGAGGCCCTCCAGGACCAATGGGGCCAGATGCTCCGGGGATGCCCTAGAACAACAGCATGGGGAGAGGCTGGGTCCCTCAATCCACCCTACAGCCCAGTTCCCACGCCCACCTTCAGCATGAATTCCACCCTAACCCCAGACCTCTCTGAGCCATTCCCGGACCCACCGTCTCTCCCTTCTGTCCGGGGGCGCCCTGAGGGCCAGGAAGGCCCCGGTCTCCCTTCTCTCCTTGCTCTCCCGTCGGCCCGATCAGTCCGATGAGACCCGGGTGACCCTGGATAAGGGGAAGGTGGTCACAGGGTCACAGGGACTCTTAAAGACCTTACACAGACGGAGAAGGGCAGGAAGATAGGGAGATGGACACGGGATTTGGGGAAAGCTTCAGCGGACATGAAGAAGAACCCTGAGGCCTGAAGCAGAGCAGTGGACACTGGCCATTCCCATGGGACCTGGGATTGAGACCATGATCCTGGATCTGTTGCTCACCTTCTCCCCCTTGGCTCCAGCATCACCACGGAGGCCAGGAAGCCCTGGAGGTCCCTAGGGGAGACAAGAACCTTCAACTTCCTCCCTGGCTCTGGCCACTCCCGAGCCACCATATATCCCAGTTACTTACCACAGGACCTGGGGGTCCAGCCTGACCTGTGGCTCCAGGGCGGCCTTGTTGACCCTAAAGGTTAGAGAACACCGCAGGGTCAGGAAGGCTATCCCCACATTATACACCGCCCACGGCCTTCACCCTCCCAACTTCTTCATACTGCAACCTACCACTGAGCCTGGGAGCCCCCGTAGACCATCAGGGCCAGGCTTTCCTGCCGGGCCTGCAGGACCCACGGAGCCTGTCTTTCCTGGGGCCCCAACAGCACCAGGGTCCCCCTGAAACACATAGAAAGGACTTGTTCTCAAGGCAGAGGGGGCAGAGGGGGGCAGAAGGAGGTCTGGCGGAAGGGTGAGGTGGGAAGGAGAGAACGACGCCTCAGGATCCCTGGCAGAGGAACAGGGGGACTCAGCAGGGAAAGGGGGTATAGGGAAGGCATCTGGAGACAGAACTCAGAGGAAGAAGGAAGAGTAAGTCCCAGCACCCAGGGTGGTCGCTTCCTCACCTTGGCTCCCTTCTCTCCTTGTCGTCCCTCTGGACCAGGAGTGCCAGCAGGTCCCTGAGGAGGAGAGCAGGGAAGAAATGATAGTCGATAACCAGACTCAACTCAGCCCCTCCCGCTGCATGCACGCATGTGCACACACACAAAAACATACATACATATGCACACACACATGCACTCTTAGAAAGGACCACGCACAAATACTGAAGACAAGAGCAACCACACCCACCTAAAACACGCAAGGCACCGAGCATACCAAAGATGGCCAGCTGCAAGTCCCACAGATAACCAGCTAACAGCCTCTCCCTGCCCATCACCTGCCTTCGCCTCACCTCCATCCACCCTATCCAAGGACAGGCAGCAGAATCAACATCACTTACCCGCTTCCCAAGGGGTCCAGGGGGCCCATTCTCCCCAGTGGGACCAGGGGATCCCTACGGAGGAAGGATAGGAGGAGTCTGAGTAGGATCCGGTCAGGAGACCTCTGGGAACAGGTATGGCCCAAAGGGTCAGTGAGAAGAGAGGGGCACCGGTCACTCACAGGCTGTCCTGGCTCGCCGTCCTCTCCACGGTCACCCTTAGCACCATCCTGGCCCTGAAGGGGTGAAAAGAGTCAGAGGAGGGTCCCCCACCTGACCGGCATCTCAGTCCAGACTCCTCACCCTGCCAAACCCCAAGACCCAGGCCCACCTGCTGCAGAGAGGCCAACCGGAAAGCCCCTCCCGCCTCCCTCAACAAGACTCACCCGTGGGCCAGCTTCTCCAGGAGGCCCAGGGTCCCCAGGAAAGCCAACGGGACCCTAATCCAAAGGAAGAGCAAGGTTAACATCACAGCTCCCTAAGGCCATTCAGAGCCAACACAGAGCCCCGCGGACACCTGTCATCCTTGGAGGAGGGTCTCCTGTGCCCTCCCCGCTGCCCCATCACTTTAGCCTCCTCAATGCTCCCAAACTATGGCAGAGCTCTCACTCCCCTCTGCACTCTTCCGCAGGAGCACCCAACCCCACAGCCTCCCTCCCAGGGACAGGCCCACCCTTGGGCTCCCTGCATTCCAAGGTACCAACACACACACACCACACACACAGACACCAGTATCCCGGGGTCTCCCATTCCCAGACCTTCCATTCACTCCCCAAACTCACAGGGTTCCCCTTGGGGCCATCATCGCCTGTAGGGCCTTTAGGCCCTGGTGGTCCAGCCTCTCCCGCCTGCCCAGCCTCTCCTTTTTCACCACGTTCACCACGTGGACCCTGCAGAGCGAGTGGAGGGAACAGATGGTCTCAAGGGAGTCTTGAAAGTCAGGGAAATAGTCTACTCTTAAGACAGCCTCAGCCTCCCCTCAGCCACTTGGTGACAACCGGACAGTCAGGGTCATGCCTATGGGGAGTGTCCTGGCCCTTCCTCCCTTCAAGGAAATGGTGGCTGGGTTCCTTCAGGCCCATAGACCAAGCAGGTGGAGGTCCCAGGTCAAGAGAGAGAAAGGGAAGAGTAGAGTGAAGGGCAAAAGGTATCAGGGACAAGGTCTCAGAACTGCCACTCACCTTGACACCCGGCTCGCCCTGGACGCCCGGAGACCCAGACTCTCCCGGCTCCCCCTACAAAGAGAGGAGCATCAAAGTCCCCCACACGTCCTGACAACCCCACATCTCTGTCAGAAATAAGCAGAAATCTAATCCCATTCCCCCTGCCAAGACTGGTCCATTCACCCCTCTTCAGCTACCTTCTCTCCAGGGGGACCCAGGTTCCCAACGCCTCCAGGGGGACCTTGTGGGCCCTGGAAGAGGAAGAGAAGCCGTTATGAGAGGAGACAGGGGCCTGGCTGAGCACAGCAGGGAGATGGTGGCAGCATCTCAGGGCCGTGATGCTTCTCTTGGTACCTGAGATGGGACTAGGGTTTATGGTGTAGGGAAAAGGAGACAAAGGACTCAACTACATGGGTCTGAAGGGGCAGGGGACAAGGGACGAGATGACTCACATCAGCACCGTTGGGTCCAGCGGGGCCGCGAGGTCCTGGAGGGCCAGGTGGTCCCTGGGTGGGTGGGGTATGAATACATCAGGATGGGGAATGAAAGGAGAGAAGGAAGTCTATGGCTGAGCAGGAGGAGGTAGGGCTGTGTAAGCAGAGGTCCAGGTGAGGCAGATGGTGGGGCTACATGCAAGCCATGCGGTCGGCAGTGGAGTGTCAGGCTGGGGACAGGCTGGGTAGCAGGTGGATTCGGGTCAGCGAGGGTCACACTCACCATAGGTCCCACGTCTCCTGTTTCTCCCTTCTCTCCAGAAGGTCCTGGCAGGCCCTGTGCACAGACCCAGTGATCAGCCCATCCAACACCCAACCCTTGTCACTCAGCCCTAAGAGGCCGCAGTTCTCTGTCCCCACCTCCCCTGTCTGCATCAGCCGGTGACTGGCAGGGTGCTCACAGACCCTCCCAGAGCCTACCTCTCAGGCCCTGTTCCCATCCCCGCTCACCTGGAGGCCAATGGGTCCTGGGGGCCCATTGAATCCTCTTGTTCCTTCATCGCCTTTGGCTCCAAAGTGTCCCTGGGGCCCCCGAGCTCCAGGCTCCCCATCAGCTCCCTGGAGCAGGGACAAGGACAGAATGCTAGGTCATGGGTCACGTGTCTGCCATCCATAAACTCACACAGACCTGAGCATCAGACACAAGGACGAAGGGGAAACTGAGGCAGGCTAGAGTCTGCTGGGGCCTCCGTGGACACCCAGAGGCACTCACCGCAGCTCCGGGCTGTCCCACAGGACCGATGGGACCAGGCGGTCCAGGTGGGCCCTAGGGAAGAAAGGAAGTCAGAGATGCCAGGATAGGTCATATCAAGGGTGGAATGAGGTTAAAAGTCAGGAGGTCAAAAGTCAAGGTCATGGATGCTTACGTGTTCGCCTTTATTCCCTTTGGTCCCCTTCTGTCCTGGGTCTCCCACCTCACCCTGCAGGAGAAGGTAATGAGATACAAGGGGAAGGAGATATGCAAATTAGATAGAGGTCAGAGGTCAGCAGTCTCTGTGGAGAGAAGACTGTAGGGTCTTACCTTGTCTCCATCCTCTCCAGCCACACCTGGGGGTCCCGCTGGACCAGGAAGCCCCACAGGACCCTGCACCCCATCACGGCCAGTGGGACCAATAGGGCCCTTCTCACCCTGCAGGGAACAAGGGAAGGATGCAGCCTCACCCTCAAGCACCCCCACAAAACACCTGGGTACCCATCACCCCTCAGTTCACAGCACACAGCCCCCTGCCCCATGCTCACCGGGACGCCTTTCTCTCCCGCTGCTCCAGGGGGACCTTGTGGGCCTGGACGTCCTGGGGGACCAATGGGGCCCCCTGATCCTGCTGCACCTCGCTCCCCAGGGGAGCCCTGAGAGAGAGAGATGAAGTCAGACCCTCCAGGAAGGAGATCCCAGGACCCCCGACCATGGATCTCAGAAAAACAGTAAATCAGATGCATCTTGGCTGACCCCAAATCCCCTCTACCCAGCCCGTGGCTCCTGCCACATCCTGCCCAGCATCCTCCTCCAACGGTCTGTCCCCTTTCCTGGTTCCTGCCCACAGCCTCCAGGGGCCCCAGACTCACTGCAGGGCCAGGAGGGCCAGCTGGACCTTCATTTCCCTTCAAGCCAGGTCCGCCCTATGAACCAGATTTAGGGCAACAGGTGAGATAAGAAGGGGAGGCTTCACAGGCAGGGGACCCCAAAAAGATGTGCCGGAAAGTGTAGGCTCAGTGAGGTGAAAGCAAGGAGGACGAGAGTGACACTACAAGCTGTTGGCTTTGGGGTTCACTCACAGCAGTGCCTGGGAGGCCTCGCTCTCCTGGGAAGCCTCTCAGACCAGCCGGACCATCCTTTCCTGGAGCCCCAGGGGGACCAGGATCACCCTGAAACAAAAAGAGGCGTGATCAACCATAATTTAAGCAGAGGTATCTGAGCCCTCAGATCCATACTGGTCCACTTCTTGCAGCCTCCTCACCACCCCAACACCTCCTTGGTGGCCAGCCCCTCACTGACCTTGGTGCCTTCCTTTCCAGCTGTTCCAGGCAGTCCTTGTTCTCCAGGAGGTCCTGGGGGGCCAGGGTGACCTCTCTCCCCCATGGGACCGCTTTCCCCAGCTGCTCCCTGGGGACGGCACAGTCTAAGCTTAGCTCTGTGACCCTGAGACTCCACTCTGCACCCCGGAAAGTGCCAGTCTAGCGCCCCTTCCTTAGTCTTCCCCAAAAGCCTTTGGGACACTGATGCTCTCCTGGCTTCTGGGGCTCAGTATCCCCAGTGTGGCGTGACCACGCCACCTTGTGTCACAGCTGGGAAAGTTCTCCAAGAGAGACCCACCCAGGAAGGAGCAGAAATTCAGGGCCTCAGCCCAAGGTCCCTGCCCAGGCAGTCAGCAGCGCTAGAGGTCCCGAACTCCAGGTCTGGGGTGCATCCTCTCCTGAGGGAAACCTACCTGAGGTCCCACCACTCCAGGGGGTCCTGGGGGGCCAGTCTTCCCTTGGAATCCCTGAGAGGAAAGAGATATAGGGGAGTCAGAGCAGGGATGGACAAGGGTGGGTGGCCATGGGGAGGAAGTACCCAGTTCCAGGGGCAGCTGGGGCAGCAGGATCCAAGCCCCTTCTCACCCTGTACCGCTGGAATCACTCACCACTTCTCCTCTCTGGCCTGGGTGGCCCGGCAGCCCATCCTTCCCTGCTGGGCCCTGGAAAGAGTTTGGGGTCAGGTGAACTCTTGATGGGAAAGAGGAATGGGGGAGAAGGAAGGGAGGTGGGTCACAAATCAGCTGTCAACTTACTGGAGGGCCTTTGGGGCCAGGAAATCCATTGGGGCCTTGGGGACCAGGAAGACCCTAGAGACAGGGATGGGGTGAGTGAAGGAAGCACAGGCTCTGGACAAATGAACATGGGAGACAGAGCATCCAAGCCACACTCACCCTCTCTCCGGGTGGCCCGTGGGGACCATCACCACCTGATGTTCCCTGTGGGGGTGAACAGGCAGGGAGTGAGGTGGACGTTTATCCGTCATTGCCCAAGGGAAGACAGTGGACGGGGTGGGAACGCTCAAGGCCCAGCTTCGGGGGATGGACACAGCCATACTGAGTTCACTCACCTTAGCGCCAGACTTCCCAGTGGCACCTCGAGGTCCCCGCTGACCCCTCGGGCCCTAGGGAGACAGAAGGGGGGACGGTAGAAACATCCTTTAGTCTTGAAGAGCCCACCTTGTCACTGAGGGTGACCGAAAGCATCTGATCTTCTCGCTTCTACCTGATTCTACAGCCACGCTCAGCTGAGGCAGTGCTGGGGTTCGAACCCACGGCTTTATGTGCACGTGCAGTCGCTACCCACTGAGCAACCTGCCCAGGCCACCTCTGGGATCTGGAGCCATTTGGTAATGGGTGTCTGCCCACAGCACTCACCGTGGGGCCCCGTTCTCCCCGAGGTCCTAATTTTCCAGACAGGCCCTGGTGGGGATAAAGCCAAGCAAACATTAACCAAGGCAAGAGTCCCACAGCAGCCTCCCCCCACCCCCAGTTCCTCCCTCTGCACCTCCCTGCCCACTGCTTACCCGAGCTCCCTTCTCTCCACTGGCTCCAGGAAAACCAGGAAAGCCCAGGGACCCCTGGTGAGGATGGAGAAGGAAGAAGATGAGAGGAGGGGGCTTGGGAAGGGCCAAAGAGGGCGAAGAAAAGCTATGAAGGCAGCCATGGTGCCAACTGGGTCTTCCCAGCAAGTAGGTGGCCTTGGAAAGACCCCTGCTGATCTATGGGCCTCTATTTGTCATCTGTAAAATGGGAGTCAGCTAACTACACTCTAGGGAACCCCACACTCTGCTAGGCTATGCCTCCTGGGGTCAGAAGTCAAGGAGAGGACAGTGAGGAGGACAGAAAAAGGGGCATCACATCACCTTGGGACCCTGGCGTCCGGGGTAGCCAGGCAGACCAGGAACGCCTAGTTTGCCCTGTGGAAGGACAGAACCCAATTAGGAAGGACAGGAGCCACAGACACCTAGCAGCAACACTGGCTGCAGAAGTCCCATGGGCTTAGTATCCCAAGCTCATCTCTGTCCTGATGGAGTCCTGCAGAGTCTGTGGTCCAGCTATTGCTACCCACCCCAGCGCCCACTGCTGTACTGCCCAGCCTCCCCCCCCTGGGGGGCACCAGCCCAGCTCCTCCCTCTGGTCCTTCCCTCCCAATGCTCCTCACATCACCCTGACCAGGGGGCTGCAGGGCTGGGGTAGGAAACAAGGACCCTGCATCTCACAGCCTGGCTCCGCCCTTTACTGCTGGGCTCACAACCATCCTAATGCCCCTGCTTATGCCAACAGTTTCATCTGTGAAGCAGGGTTGTCGTGGGGCTACCTGCAGGACTGGCAGGACAAGGCCACAGACCTCCCCCGCTGACTCCCCTCTCCACCTTCTCACCCCAGCTCAGATGCCCTGTGCCTGCCACACCAAGGATTCTCCCTTGACTTCCATGCCCCCCACTCAAGCCACTGGGACCAGCAGTGATCAAGTCAGCTGGCACCCCATGTCCAGCCTGGCCCCGTGGCCGAGCCACTATCCCCCATCTCCTTCATCCCCATCACCTTCTCGCCCATAAGCCCAATGGGTCCAGGGTCTCCAGTAGGCCCAGTGCGTCCTTTCGGCCCCTCAGGGCCATCTTCTCCCCTGGAACCAGGAACTCCAACCTCACCCTGAGAGGAGAGTGGGGAAGTGAGTGTTGGGGACAGGGAGAGAATGGAGGGGCCGGTGTGGCTGACAATGTGGTGGCCACCTCACTGGGACACAGCTCTAAAGGGGACACAGCAGTGGAGAGAAAAGTCTCCCTTTCAAGGAAGCACAAGGCAGCTCCAAATGGAAGCACAGCAGGATGGGGTGGGGAACTGGGTGGGCAGGAACTCACCCTGTCTCCTTTCACACCCATGTCACCTTTGAACCCGGGAAAGCCATCCTCGCCCTGAGAAAGACAGAGGGTAAAGGTTGGGGAAGCCGGGCGTGGGCTCAGGGAACACAGGCAAAAAGGGGTGGATTTTAGATATGGGTGGGCAGGTGGGCACTGGGGGAGGGGAGGGCAGGTGGGCACTGGGGGAGGGAAGGGCAGGTGGGCACTGGGGGAGGGGAGGGCAGGTGGGCACTGGGGGAGGGGAGGGCAGGTGGGCACTGGGGGAGGGGAGGGCAGGTGGGCACTGGGGGAGGGGAGGGCAGGTGGGCACTGGGGGAGGGGAGGGCAGGTGGGCACTGGGGGAGGGGAGGGCAGGTGGGCACTGGGGGAGGGGAGGGCAGGTGGGCACTGGGGGAGGGGAGGGCAGGTGGGCACTGGGGGAGGGGAGGGCAGGTGGGCACTGGGGGAGGGGAGGGCAGGTGGGCACTGGGGGAGGGGAGGGCAGGTGGGCACTGGGGGAGGGGAGGGCAGGTGGGCACTGGGGGAGGGGAGGGCAGGTGGGCACTGGGGGAGGGGAGGGCAGGTGGGCACTGGGGGAGGGGAGGGCAGGTGGGCACTGAGGGAGGGGAGGGCAGGTGAGCACTGAGGGAGGGGAGGGTAGGTGGGCACTGGGGGAGGGCAGGGAAGGTGGGCACTGGGGGAGGGCAGGGCAGGTGGGTGCTGAGGAGGGGAGGGCAGGAGAAGGTGTACCGGTACTTAGAAGCAAATGCACAAGGTTTACCTTTTCACCCTTGTGGCCCTTCAGGCCCCGAATTCCATCCACACCCTAGAATTAGAGGGAGGGCAGAGATCAAGTGATTGGCTAAATTAGAGTACTGAGCCCCTAACCCATTCCCTGGTATTCAGTTACCTTGACACCTCGGGGGCCTGGGTATCCTAAAGGACCCTGTGGTCCAGAGGGACCCTGGAGAAAGAAAGAGAGAGGTTTATGAAGTCCCTCAGGATGTCACTGTGAGGGCCTCAGGGAGCAGGAGAACATAGCAACTATACTGGGGTTGGGGGGACACTAAGGTTCAGGGGAGGGGGTCATGGGTCTTAGATACAGAACATCATCAGAGCCAAGTGAAGGATGACAGGAATCCCAAGGACTGTGACCCGCTCCCCGCAGTCTGAAGACACCTCAGAGGGTAAAGGGAAGTGTGGAGGGTCTCACTTGGTTCCCTTTGGTTCCAGGAGGACCTTCCTTCCCTGGGTGACCCTGCGAGAAGGAGTTACAGAGAACGTCACTGCTGAGCCCTGTCACCTTTCCAGGAGTCCCCAAATTGCCTTGTGCGCTGACAAAGCCGATACCACAGGCAACCCATGAGTGACCTTACAGTAAAGGCGCACACTGAAAAGGTAGCCACTGAGGGGCTTGCCGGGACACCCTGGGGAGAGCAGAGAGGAGGGGTACTCACTGGGAGTCCATCCGATCCCGGCATGCCAGGGAGCCCTGGTTTCCCACGAGGACCCTGCAGGAGGAATTGGGATTTCAGGAGAGAGGGACGCATTCCTAGCCCATTGCTAGAACACGATGCCCTGAGAATCAGTTACCCACCTTCTCTCCATGGGGACCGATGGCACCCTGAGGTCCAGGGAGGCCCTGCATGTGGAGAAGGAGAAGTCACGTGAGCCACGGGGCTGCGTCATTCTCTACATCCCCACTAAGTGCCAGAGCAAGAAGGGCCCAGTGACCTGTCCCCACCCAGAGTGTGCCCCATGGTGAGGCCTAGGTGGCAGTCACTATGGTTGGGAAGAGAGCAGGACCACTCACCTGGGTCCCAGGAGTGCCCTGTTGTCCAGGAGGCCCTGGCTCTCCTTGAGGTCCCTAGAAACAAGCAGTCAGAGAAAGCCAGTCTAAAGTCAGGCAGGGGTCAGGCAGGGTCAGACAGGGTCAGGCAGAAGATAGTGACAGAACAGAAAGGATAGAAATCTCAAGGGCAGCCAAGAGGACAGGGTCAGGAAACAGGAAGGGGTTCAAAATGGCAGCCGACAAGACTGGGTAAGGGACTTGTAGGGATGAGGGGCGGGGTCTTTATGCCCATCACTCACCAAGCTCCCTTTGGGGCCGTGGGGACCATCCATGCCTCGAATGCCCTGAAACACAAGATGGGGTAAGCAGAATGGAAGCTGGGGCCAGGCCAGGAACACTGTGGTTTCTGAGAATCATGGCCTGCTCATCCCAGAGGGTGGACAGCAAACGCCCCATCAGACCGCACATTCGTCTACAGGGCGTGGGCCTGGGGCTGTGAGGGCTTCTGTTTGTTTTTCTTGAGGATTTCTGTTGTTACAGCCAGAGCCCTGGTGCACTGTACTGTATGATCTACCAAGTGCTGCTTGTGGGGAAGCGGGAGCAGAAATAAGGGAAAAATGGGTAGGGGAGGAAGGGAGGAAGGAAGTAGTTAGGAGAGGTCAGGGGTAAGGTCGAGGCTGGAAGTCAGGGTGTCACCTACCGGAGGCCCAGGAATACCAGGTGGACCTTTAGGGCCGAGAAGTCCTCTGGGTCCCTGCATCAGAGTTGATGGAGACAGCATGAGAGGGTGATAGGAAAGGTGTCCCTTTTGTTCCCATCACTTCCTGTGGCTCCCGCAGAGCACCCCAGAACACTCACCGACTCTCCAGGCAGCCCTCGAGGCCCAATATCTCCATCGTCACCCTGGAGAAGGAGGGCGTATTGATCAGATCAGTCTTGCCTTCCAGACGTCTGAGTCCAGTTCCCGCCCTGACCATGACACTTACCCGCTCTCCATCCTCGCCAGGAGGCCCAGGAAGGCCCTGAGCGCCCGTATCACCCTGGAGAAGAAGGGAGCAGTGAAGAGAGGCCTCAGATTCCTCACACAGGCAGACACTGGCCCCTTCCCTGAACTGCTGAGCCCCAGGCCTCTCTGACTTACTCTGAGGTCCCTTCCTCCCCTCTAGAGATCAGTCCCCATGACTGCAGCCCGCCCACATCACACCCACCCTGTGTCCCTTCTCGCCGGGTAGTCCTGGAAGTCCGTCAAAGCCTCGGTCACCCTAGGAGGAAGAGGGAGAAGTGAAGTGAGGTCCAGTCACCTCCCATCCCCCCTGCCTACTCTGTCCCGAGTGAGGGGCTATATCCCACTGGTGAGCTGTGAGCCCTGCGGCAGGGCAGGCGGCTACAGCTGTCAGAGGAGGGTAAGCAGGTTACCTTCACACCGGGTTCTCCAGGCATCCCACGGGCTCCATCGGCACCGGCTCGGCCCTGGGGGCACAAAGCACATGTGAGAACAAGTTGAGATATGGTCCCCTATCCCCCAAGCTCCATTTCCATCCCTAGAGGGCTCACCCTTCGCCCAGCCTTGCCAGGAGGGCCTGTGAGGCCCTGTGGTCCTCTGGGGCCCTAGTGAGGGAGAGACAGGGATGGTTAACAAGCACAGGCCGAGAGGAGAGACACTGAGCTACAAATCACATGTGGGGGTTGTCACCTGAGGGCCCAGGTCTCCAGATTCTCCTTTCAAGCCTGGGCTCCCAGGCTGACCCTGTGAGAGAAAATGGCCATACTGAAGAATACACCCAACAGTGATCTCAAAGGGTCCTCTGACCCAGCCGCATCCCCCCACCAAAGAAGCAAAACTTTTGACCTCGTTCCTTGACAGAACTGTCTCTAACTACACACACAAATAAAGAAACGCCACTTTAACTCCCAACTCACTCACCAAGGGTCCAGGGCGGCCTGTGTATCCCATGGGGCCAGGCGGCCCACGGAGCGCCAGCTAGAGGAGCAAGAGAGACAGCAGAGATGAGAGGGAGGCAACTTGAGAGCCCAGCACACCCCACATTTGTCCTTCCTCTAGCCGATCCTCACCCTTAGCTCAGCTCCATCTCTCCTGAGCAAAACCAGGCTGTCTCCCCAACCTTTCACACCAGCACCCCACAAGTGCCTTCCCTTTCCACCACAGACCTCCCTCTACCAGGACCTCCTCTGGCCCTGCTCACCCGTGCCTGCTGCAGAATGGCCTGGGCCTGAGCCTCCTGGGCTGCCACCACGGGGCCCTTGTCACCCCCACTGCTGCCAAACCGGAACTGAGGGGAGACAGAAGACACAAGGAAAATCCAAGCGCCCTCCTCCAATGTCTCAGCTGTGCCCTGGCTCCGGCTAGGTACCACCCTTCCACCCGCCTTCCACTGTGGTTACAATACTCTCCTCTGCTTCTTCACCTCCTAACATATGAGATTCTCTGCCCTCTTTTATTTATTTATTTATTTATTTGGATTTTTGAGACAGGGTTTCTCTGAAGTTTTTAGTGCCTGTCCTGGAACTATCTCTTGTAGACCAGGCTGGCCTCAAACTCACAGAGATCCACCTGCCTCTGCCTCCCGAGTGCTGGGATTAAAGGCGTGCGCCACCACCACCCGGCCTCTGCCCTCTTTTAGATAATCCATGTTTGGTTCTTCAAGACCCATGTTTGGTCCCAGGTCTAAAGAGGGTGCAATATTCCCACCCCCAAAGATCAATGGCTTCCGTTGGTGCTATGAACTCCAGTTCTTTCTACCGTCATGGTCCAGGGCTGAGAGCTCTGGCAAGCCGCGTCATGCCCCGTCATGCCCAGCTTCTCCTCCACAGCCTTCTTGGTTAGTTCTTAGTGATACAAGCGCCACCCCCGGCCTGTTTCAAAGCCCAGGAGATAACTCACTGGAAGCATCAGAGATGTGCCTGGAGGACCAGGGGCTCCATCTGACCCGGGGAGCCCTGCCCGGCCAGGGGGACCCTGAGTGGGAAAGAATGAGAAGAAAGGGAGACAGACGCAGGTCAGAGGTGTGATATCATTTTGAAATCCTTCCCTACAGGACTAACATAGACATCTCTTGATCCCCCCTGAATGCTCTACCCTGTGAAGAAAACTGCAGGGAGGCCCCAGCTTACTGCCCTCTCCCGCTAGTGTGCGCCCACTCTAGGCTATGGGGAGCACAGTCTGCTCTTCAGCTGATAAAGGATACCAGACGCAGCACCCACAGGATGTGAGCGGTTCCTCTGCAGCTCTCCCCATACCCAGAACAGTCACTTACCCTCTCGCCAGGGTCTCCAACTGGCCCTGGGTTCCCCTGGATGCCAGGGGGTCCAGTCAATCCCTAAGAGACAAGAAGGAAAGTCAGATGTGGACGTCAGACACAAGAGGGGTACGCGGCCGAGACAGAAGAGGAGCATGTGGCCAAAGGGTACACATCAGACAGAAGAGGGGCATGAACTTGGGGGTGCACATTAGACAGATGAGGGGCATGTGGCCGAGGGGCGCACATCAGACAGACAAGCAGCATGGATTGGGGGGATACACATCAGACAGATGAGGAGAATGAGCTGAGGGGTGTACATCAGACAGACGAGGGGCATGGACTTGGGGGTGCACATTAGACAGACGAGCAGCATGGATTGGGGAGATACACATCAGACAGATGAGGAGAATGAGCTGAGGGGTGTACATCAGACAGACGAGGGGCATGGGCTTGGGGGTACATATCAGACAGAAGAGGGGCATGTGGCCGCGGGGTGCACATCAGACAGACGAGGGGCATGGACTTGGGGGATACACATCAGACAGATGAGGGGCATGGACTGGGGGGTACATCAGACAGACGAGGGGCACGGACTCGGGGGTGGTCTCTACAGCAGAGGTGTGGGAATCTGGAGTCTGGTTTGGAAGCACTCTTCAGAGTGGAGACCTGGACATACTTAGGCAAGCCACAGAAGTACCTGCAGGAAACGTCTCTAATAAAAGAAAGGCAGCCTCTATAATATACTCACCGCAGGGCCTTCTGGGCCAGGGGGTCCCTCTACGAACATACCCTGTGGGGTCAGACACCCAAAGTTAGAAGCCAGGGGGCCAGCACCCACCCCATTACCTCCCCAGTTCCGCCCCCAGTATGACTCACAGGCTCCAGCACCGCAGGCTCTCCCTTCTCTCCCTTTAGCCCCCGGGGTCCGTGGGCAACCTGAGGGAGACACACATGTAACCCCCAGTGGGGCCCGTGAATTGCCAGGACACAACATCTGCCCCATCCCAACTCCAGCCTCCCTTGCAGGACCTCCTGGACACCACCTCCAAGCTCTAAGCCAGTTCCCCAGCCCACCAAAGCCAGCGCATGCTGTGTCTCTGAGAGCCGCTTCCCTCCTGGGATTCCAAACCCCAGAATTCTCCTGGGGGACCCCACCCTGTCACCAAAGGTGACCCCGGGAATCCTTAGGACCTGAAGAGGTGCCTGCTTCCTCACCCTGACCTCAGCTCCCGAGTAAGTAGGTAGGTTTATTTCTGGCAGAACCAGATGAGAATTTGATTCTAAAAGCTACGTGTTTTCCTCCAGAAAATGAAAAGCGTGTGTCCTAAGGTATAGAAGTTTATCTATAGCTTTCATGTCGCTTGTTTCAAGACACTCTTAAAAGAACTCAGAGTACTGCAGGCTGCCCTCAAACTCAGTCCCCCTGCCTCAGCCTCACTCGTGTTGGGATTATAGGCATTGCCACCATGCCCATATCTAGTTGTAATTTCTAGCTTCAAGGGGTTCACAAGTCAAAAATGCCCCGGAGGGGCTGGGCAGATGGCTCAACAGTTAAGAGCACTTGTTGCTCTTGCAGAGGGTCTGGGTTTGGTCCCCAGCACCCATCTGGTGGCCAACAACACCTGTGACTCCAGTTCTGGAGGGTCTGATGCCCTGATCTGACCTCTGCAGGCACCAGGCACGCCTGTGGTGTGTGGGTGTGTGCGCGCCCGTGTGTGCAAGCGTGTGTGCGCGTGCATGCATGTGTGTGCGTGTGTGCGTGCCTGTGCGTGTCTCTGTGTGTGTGTGTGTGCCTGTGCCTGTCTCTGTGTGTGCGTGTGTGCGTGCCTGTGCATGTCTGTGTGTGTGTGCGCCGCGTGTGTGCGTGCCTGTGCGTGTCTCTGTGTGTGCGTGCCTGTGGTGTGTGTGTGTGTGCGCGCCCGTGTGTGCAAGCTGTGTGTGCGCGTGCATGCGTGTGTGTGCGTGTGTGCATGCCTGTGCGTGTCTCTGTGTGTGTGCGTGTCTCTGTGTGTGCGTGCCTGTGCGTGTCTCTGTGTGTGTGTGCGCGCGCCCGTGTGTGCGAGCGTGTGTGCGCGTGCATGCGTGTGTGTGCGCGTGTGTGCGTGCCTGTGCATGTCTCTGTGTGTGCGTGTGTGCGCGCGTGCACAGGCATGTCTGTGTACAGGCAAACATACACATGAAGGAGATTTAGAAAGCTGTTGCCACTGGTAGTCCACATTCTGGCCTTTCAGGTGGATTAGGGAAAATACAGCTCTTAGGTTAGTTAGCAACACTCACAGTACCCTAGTTTCCTCCCCACCCCCACTTATATTCCAAGTCCACCAGTTCCTCCCTCCCCCTCTTCTGCCCCAATTCCCACTCCAAGCTCTAGGCCAGAGCAAAGATAGTGGCAGAGAGGACAAAGGTCATTTACTACTGCCCCCATTCTCCCAACAAAGACCTTCTGACCTCCTCCCTCCACCCCCATCTCGGCCAATTAGGCATGATCGGTTCCCAAATCCCAGCCCAACCCCAAATACTCAGAAGGCAGCTAAAGCAGCCAAGGGTGGCAGAATCAGGTAAGCGGGTTCAGAGTTCAGAGTTCAGCAGCAGCAGCAGCAGCAAGGGGACAGCCATGACGCCAAGCGTGCAAAGGACAAGGTGGAGCCAGCGGGAAGCAGTCCAACAGAGAGGGCCGTCTGAAGACCTGGGATGCCACTAAGGAGATAAAACAAAGGGACGCACACTTGGAAGCAACACCGACACCAGAGCCAAGAAAAATTAAACACAGCCAAGATGGCTGGAAAACACACTGAACAAACAGGAAGTGGTTAGAGAGACAGGAAGCCTCCGAGAAAAAAGAATCCAGGAAGTGGACCTTCAAAAACAACATGGCTACCATGACCAAGAGAGAAAAGAAAATCACAAAACAAACAGAAAAGCGACTCTTGCCAAGAGAATTAAGAGGGTGAAAGGCAAGGAAAACACACCAACCCCAGGGAAGGACACACAGGAAACAGCCACAGTACACATATAGGTCCACAATGAATTAGCCTAATATTTTCCATAATCTGAGGTATCCAGGAAGTAGTTTATTGCCAAAGAAAATTACCACAAAACAGCATGAAAAATCAGAACAAACAATCCCTTTTACCCCAGCTTCACACAGGAGGGACATCAAGGCTACAGTAGACAGGGAAAGAGACCAGAAGTGGCCCCCAAGGTTAGAAAATGTCATAGGGGACCTTGAGCATCAACATGGACGAGAAGTTGATTTGAGCAGGAGGAGAGGGACGAGACAGACGGAAACTGGACACAAGGCAGCTGTTTATTGACGAAAGCTTTCTAACACCTGTCTCAATTTAGACAAGAGTGGCCGAAGGAGAAAGGAAGTGGCCATGCGAGACAGAGGACCTACAGGGAGGCACGGGGTAAGACGTTTGGCAAGAAAAAGCAGGAAGTGATCTCCAGCGGCACAGACATCTCGTGTGAAGACAACATGACAAGCCAACAGGAAGTAGCACACAGCCAACCAGGATCAAACAGGAAGCCATCCACGGAGCACCCCTGATGGCCAAGGATGGGCTAGGAGCTGATTTCACTTACGGCTCCAGAGTGGGCTGTCTCCGCAGAGAGGGCAGGGCCAAGCTCGGTCTCCTCATGATAGTCCCCATAGCCATAGGTGTAATCGTAGAGCCCTGCCGGGGCGTCTGTGCCTCCCTCCCCATACTCCTCTGCCTGGAAACTGTCAGCTGTTGGGGGGACCTGGAGATCTGTCTGCTCCTTCCCAAGGATGGGGCGGGTAGATAGATGGAGGCTTTAGGCCTGAGAAGAGGCTCTTGTCCTCAAAGAACCTGAGGGTCATTGGGACTGGAGTTTTCTCCCCCACAGTGAGCAAGGAGAGGGACCAGACAGAAGAGGAATAGTTATTGACCACAAATGGACGTCTGGAAATGGACGTGATTGGGAAAATAGCGGAGAACAAGAAGGGTGGCCGGAGGGCTGGACACAGGATAGTCCATAGACATAATGACAAATGAGGACTGTAAGACCACAGACAGAAAGACCGAAGGACAGAGAGAAGAAAAAAGCGAGAATGTTGGACGGAAAACAGACCCAGGAATGGCACCATGACACAGGAAGGGGTTCACCTAACACCAACATAGAGAGTCTACTTTAGAGTCAAAAAAATATGAGGAGAAGGCTGTGACCCCAGAAGAAACAGCCACACACAGACAAGCAGGTGGCAGATCTGGAGGGACCAGAGAAGTCTTAAGTGGGTACATGAAGAGCCCTCCGGCCAGGGAGGATGCTGGGGGGGGGGGGGTCCAGCTGGGTAATGTTGGGGACAAAGTTACCTCTTCAAGGAATGGCAAGGGGCTGGACTCCAGGACTCCTTCCTCTTCACCTGGGGTGGGGTACTAGTCCCAAGGAGAGGAGGAAAGGAGGGGGGGGGAGGGAGAGGTTAGCAGGAAAGAAAGCAAAGCTGCCACCTGTCCCCACCACAGGCAGGCTCTGGGGTGGGGGATGGGGGAAATCTCAGATCTTGCAGCCCCTTTGAGAAAGACAATTTAAAGAGAGTCAATCTCCAGTGTCTGTAAGTTGGGAGCAAAGATCTGGATGCCCGTTCTACCTGCCGATAACCGCTGCCTCTGGTCCTGGGGAGGGCTCGGGCAGCGGGGGAAGCTGCCCGCGGAGCTGGGCGTCGGGAGGGGGGCGCCTGCCTGGCTGCTGACCTCTTGGCAGGAGGGCTAGGCTTTCGGGGAGGGGTCCGACGCCCCCTAGGGGAAGGGGGAGCCCTGCGGTTGGAGCTCTGAGGACGCTGCAGTGGAGAGATGGGGGGCGGGCAGTGAGCAAGTGAACCTCCATAGTCTAGTGTCTCTCCCAGAAGCTGGGGCTGATGGGGACTTAGTGTAAGGAGGTGCTGGGAGAAAGGGGAGAGATGAAGGGGGCCCTCGAGTTTACCTGGTAATCAGGGGCCGTCCCCGTAGTCATCACATCGTAATAGGGGGGCTCGTAGTCATAGTAGAGAGACTCAGTGGGCTAGGAGCAGGGAGGGGGATCGACAGGGCAGAGATTCCAGAGGGGCAGTAAGGAGATGATGTGGAGTTGGGGGTGAGAGGTGAGGGTGACAGACAGGGTGACAGTGGAGGAGATAGTGGGAGAGGGGAGAAGGAGGAAATGGGTTTCCCATGTGGACAGAAGCAGACACGATTAAGAGATTGACCCTCCAGTCTTCAAGTTACTGTGCCCAAAACACAGCTGTCACCCCAACCACCCAGTCATCCCCCCAACCTAGACATTCATCTCTCTTCCCATCACACCCCAAGGTACTTGGTGAGCAGAAACTCTGCTCCTGTCTCCACACATCCACAGACCACCACCCCTGGCCCCGCTGAGATTCCCTCTCAGCCTAGTCCCTCCCTATCACCACCCCCCCTTGGTATCACATCTCAGCTTCATTTCCCTGTCCCACCTCCTCGGGGCTCACCTGTCCCCTAATGTCCCCCAATCTCTTAATTCAAGAAAGGGATGGGAAACCCAAGGCAGACGGGAAGAAGATGCCACACAAGCAGGGCACATAGCTCCCGCTGGGGATTCTTCATAATGACTCTTTTTATTTTTAAGTGAAAATAAAAAGGTTGATGACCTAGGACTGGGAGGAGGGCATGATGGAAATAGAGAAATACTGCTGGGAGATAGGGAGAGGATGGAGGAGCAGCATGGAACACTGCGGGGGGAGGAGGGCTGCCCTGGAGAACCCCAGTGTCCTCCCCGCAACACAAGGCTGCAGCTTCTGTTTGCCCGACTCCCTTACCTGTCGCTGGGGCTCCTGGTTCTGTGGTTTATGAAGTCCTGATGGCTGCTTCTTTGGCGATCTCTGGGCTCTGTGAGGCTTCGGGATCTGAGGGGCATCCTTCTGTTCCCGCTCACATTCCAGATCCTTCTGTCCACAAGACTGATAGGCAGCTTGGACGCCTGGGACGATGAGGAGCTCCTGAACATCACCCTGCAAAGATATGAGGAGGGAGAAGCGATGGAGAGATAGACAGAGGGACTAGGAGAGGCGAAAGGAACGGTCTGGGACAAAGTGACTGGGTAGATGTCCGGGCGAGGAAACGGATGAACAGGTAAGGCCGTCATGCATGCATCCGGAGGGAGGTCAGAAGGTCGGCTGGCTGGGGAGATGGATGGGTGGTGGACACATGAAGAGGGGTTGTCTCTGGGTGACTGGGAGACTGGGCAGGTGATAAACAAGCAGATTTGGACAGGTGACGAATGACCGAATACACAACTATGAGCTGTATCCACACAACAGTCTCAGACTAAGCAATAGCACGGAGGAAGGTCACGAGCAGCTTCCTATAGGGACGACAGGAACAGGCAGGGGGACAAGGATTGCCGTCCCTTATTTCATATCTCAACGAGAAATGATGAGCCAAAGTCCCTCAGAACGACCGGTCAAGATGTCCATGTATGTGTAGGTAGATGGAGTGAACTCAGGCCTTCCAACTGCAGATTCAACACAGGCCAGCTCCTCCCTGCTCCTAGGGTCACACATAGGCCTTTCCACAGGGCTTCTGGAGACAGGGACGGCCTTGGGACCTTGACCTTCCACCATCAGTGATGATGGGAGTTCTCAGACGGACCTCTAGAGACAAGGGACTTATTTCCTTCTGGATCTCAGTGGCAATGACTTGAGTCTCACACACTGGCTCTTCCCAAAGCAAAACAAAGACCCTCCTGGGGTGACAGAGACCTTGAACTTTCATGCTGTGTTCAGAAAAAGTAGGTGTGGGCAGGCGGATCGATGGGTGGATGGGTAGATGGAGTGGAAGAGCAGACGGGTCAACAGGGGTTCGAGCACAGTAAGAACGACAGTGGATGGATGGGTGGGTGGACGGACTCACAGGAAAATGAGGGGGCAGGTGAAGGGTATGCACTGCGGTCTAACTGTGTGGACGGGGCTAATGCATGGTACCTGAGTGGCTGGATGGCGAGGGGGCGGGGAGATGAGTGGGCGCAGTGGAGCGGAGCAGCGGCTGAGTTTGTAGCAGCTATGCGGCTGGTGAACCGAGGCATGCGTCCATGTATGTGCAGGTGGATGGAGTGAGCGGGTGAGTGGAGGAGAGAACAGATGTGGGGACGGGTAAATGAACGGTGGGGGGTTGAGGAGGGAGTAGCAGTGCAGGGGAAGAGAGGTGAGCGGCTCACTATGAGCCTAGCTGCATGAGCGGGGAGTAAGTGGACCAAGAGGTAAGGCATGCACGCGTCTGGAGGCAGGTCACTGGTGTCAGTGGGCCGGGTGGACACAGGAAGAGACAGGTCACTGGTGTCAGTGGGCCGGGTGGACACAGGAAGAGACAGGTCACTGGTGTCAATGGGCCGGGTGGACACAGGAAGAGACAGGTCACTGGTGTCAGTGGGCCGGGTGGACACAGGAAGAGACAGGTCAGTGGTGTCAATGGGCCCGATGGACACATGGGTGGACGCAGGAAGAGGGGTTGTCTGTGGGTGACTGGGCAGGTGAATTAACAGGTAAATTGGGTGAAGGAATAAATCACTGGTGGACAGGTGACAAGTGACAGTGGTGACAATCAGCTGTATTTACATAAGTAGGCCTCTCGCTGCCCGCTGAAAAAGATCAGCCCTAAAGAGCGGAAAGGGCAATAGGAAATCCTGGGAAGGAAACCAAAGGCTTAAGGCTAGGAAGACAGAGGGCTGGAGCCACAAGTGTGACCCTCCTCAGACAGCCGCTGAGCTTACCTCAAAGACTTCGTCATCTAGGACGTGGGCACCGAAGATCACCACCCCACGGGTGTCCAGCACTGGATTCGCACTTCGGGGAAGGGGTCGGGTGACCCGCTTCTTACAGTCCACAATGAGGGTGACAGACTGGCCCTTCACGGCCACAGCCACACGGTGCCACCTAACCGTGGGGTAAGAAGTCCATGTGACTGACGGGTGGAACAGACAGTAGTGATGACGGGATTAAGAATTACAACAATAGCGTTGGGGAGGTGGCTCAAGAGTCAAGAGCAGTGGCTGCTCTTCCAGAGGGTCTGGGTTAATTCCCAGCATGCATATGGTAGCTCACAACCACCTGCAACTCTGGTCCCCAGGGATCGGACATCATCATCTGGGATCTGCAGATGCACGTGGTGTATAGATGTAGGTGCAGGCAAAACACCCACATATATAAATTAATTAATTTTTTAAAAAGAATTCCAAGCAAGGGCTACCATGTAATCGGTGTTTACAGCATGGGCACCCTGCAATCATTTTCCAGTTGGGGTGTCATATTTGTCTGCTAGAAACTAAGGCTCAAAACACTAAATACTTTACCAGAGAGCCAGTAGGCACCTTTTTGTTCCCATTCCCCAACCCAGACTCTGAGACCCAAACCCTGATCAGGAAGTTTGAGCAGCGGGCTAGTGTGCTCAAAGGACCAGCAGAAGCCCTCAGTTTAGAAACTGGGGCTTCTGAGTGACTTCGTGACAATCTGGGTCAGGCAGTCCAAAGGGACCAACTGACTTACTTGCCATCGGCTAGGTTGAGGCCTCGGAAGACAGGCTGAGAGGGGGCTTGTGGCCGCCCCCTCTGGTCCTCATACAGAAAGCGCACCGGGCGACCGAGCTCAAGGCCCAGCTGCTGGACTCCCTGGGCACTGTATAGAGTCAAGAGGGGAGCCTGGAGGCCAGGGCGGGTCCGCACAGCAGTCAGCAGGGAGAAGTCTTTGGGAAAGCCTCCTGGTAGCCCAGAGAAAGAGACACACAGACACAGTGAGAGGTGAGGCGATCCCAAACCTCACCTCCCCATGTCCCCATCTCACTGCCCAAACCTGGGAAGAGCTGGCGGGTGGGTGCACTGAGCTGGGCAGGTCGTGACACGCGGTAGGCCACATCAGTCGGACAGACCCCTTTTGATTTCCGGACACCATCAGGAAGGGAGGGGAACCTCAGGGCACGCAGTACATCCACAGAGGGTGCACCTGGGAGAGTCAGGGTTCGAGTCAGGGGACAGGACAGGTCCCAGGGAGGGTCTAAAGAGGGAACACCCAGATCTCCAACTCATGATCCTTTACATTACCCTGAAAGAACCTATATGGATGGGAAGCAAAGTGGCCCAGAGGGGAAGTGCAGCTAGCTGTGGCTGGCCTTCGCACCCGCCCCCCACATCTGTGTTTCAGATCCACCACCGCTGTCTAAGCTGTGAATCTTTGCTAAGATTCTCCCTGCCTCCCTCCCTCCCTCCCTCCCTCCCTCCCTCTCTGCCCTCCTTCTGCTTGTGCACCTGTCAGACCCTCCCTCCTATCCCTCCTCTGTTCTCCCCCACACCCTATCCATCCTTTTCTCTCTCCCTTGCTCTCCCTCCCTTTCTGTATCTCCCAGTTTCTGGCTTCCTGGCATCTGCTTGGTCTCTAGCACAAACAACATCTGGGCGATCGATCATCCTGGGCACAGGGAGGCAGAGAGGCGGCTGCCTAAGAGAGGTCTTCCAGCTGCTTAAGACTGGGTTGAGGTGGGGGCGGGGCAGCTCTGACTGGGCTAAGGAAGGAGATAGCAGGACCAGGACCGGGTGGTCCAGATGTCTATGCCCCCAGGTTTGGAGAGGGGGAAGGGGAAACTGAAGCTGCCACGCAGGGCAGGAGCAGGTCCAGGGCCGCAAGCCACACATCTGTAGATGCCATCAGAGTTCTTGCCCAAATCCCAGGCCAGCTCCTCACACCTGGAACCTCAGTCCTGCCCTGCCACCCCCGACATCTGAATCTAAAGATTCAAATCACAGGCCATCAGCCAGGACTCCTTAAATTTCAGCTTCCTGGGCCCAAACTCCCTGGAAAGCGAAGGCTCGCACCCCAAAGCACAGCATCTGCCCCACAGTGGAGAGCTCCCACAGAGGGTGCTCTCAAAGGCTGGTGGAAGTGGGGGCGGGCAGAGGCCAGGGCAGTCAGCAGAGCAGAGCTGGGTGGGGTGGACGAGGTGGAGCCGGCAGGAGAGAAAAGGCCTTTTGAGTCCAGGAGCTGAGGAAACCGCGACCTTCCCCCGCCCCTGAGGAGCCTGGCCCCCAAGTGTGGCGGCTCTGCAAACACTGACACACAAGGGCAGCTTTGAGAGACCCAGGTGAGGGAGACAGAGAAACAGAGACTCACAGAGACCCCTGGCCAAGGAGACCTCGGAGGTCCCCACCCTCCACCAAAGCCCAGTGGAGGACAGTTCCACACCACGCTCACTGCCCACAGGCGGCCCCCCTCAAGCCACATACTAAGCCCACTGTCTGAGACACATTGGCACCCCATCAATTGCCCTGAGCCCCCAAATGCCCTGTCCTTTACTCTCGGGAATTCTTAGTCACCCATCTCCCTGGACTCCCCCCTCCACCGGCTCAGGTCCCAAACAAGGGACAGTGATCTCAGTCAGTCCCCTGCCTCTGCAAACACCTTGTACTTCATTTTATGTTACTTCTTTGGTCTAGCCTATATCCTTTACACTGCCATTCTGCCTAGTTTCTCTCCAGAGAAGAGAAAACATGAATAATGGAGATATATACAAAATCAGTCCTGTCCCTGTTCTGGGAGAGAGGAGCTGGTTCCATCCTGCTTAGACCCAGCACTCCCTGACTCTATTCTGCTATCAAATCCTCTTTTCTAGGAGCCTTTCCCTTCTGGAGGAAAAAGGGGGGAAAGATTGGGCCTGTGGACACAAGGGTCCCAGAGGAGTCCGGTTGGCCAGAGGGGGAGGGGAGGGGCAGGAATGCAAAGAGCTGGCTCTGGCCTCAGACACCTGATCCTGGCCTGTCCAGCGGCCGTCCTGTTGGCAGCCAGCCCTGGTGTTCCCTAGAGCCAGCCGCGTGGCAGCATCCAGGGCACAGGGAGGGGTTGGGGGACCCAAAGAGAACAGGACAGTGGAGGTAGCCTTTTTCCCTGGCTCTGACCCTGCTTCCTTTACCCATCAGCCCTGGCATTCACCGGCCCGACATCAGCAAAGCCTGGACAAGACTGGCTTTGGCCATCCTCGGATGTAAGGACCCAAACCACGAACCCAGCCGGCTTAGGCTCTGGTCTGTGGTCCCCAGCCGCTGCCATCACCTGCCTTCCACCAGTCATTTCAAGGAGGGTGACAGTCCCATACTGGCTACAAGGAACTCGAGTGTTCGCCCTTCATCCTAAACCCCAAATCCCTTTCTTAAGACGCAGATGCTCCTACTCGAGGCATCTGTGGTCCCTTTCAGGTAGATGCTCTGACCTCCAGCTGACTGACACCCAGACAAGACTCCTCTTACCTGCCCATCCTGGGGCAGCACTCAGCCCCAGCACCAGAGGTAGGAGCAGAAGGAGGCGGGGGCAACTGCTGCCCCACTTCATGGCTCAGAATGCCTGGTCCCAGACCCAGACAGCTCTGGTGTGGACTGTAGACAAAGCGTGCTGAGCCTCGGAACCAGGACCCAGGGATGTCAGCAGCTTTCAGCGGTCAACTCCATGCAGCAAGGTGCTGTTGAGGAGACGTCTGCTTGCTTGTCACTGCTGCTTGCTCCGCGGTGGCTGCTACTGTGTGCCCCTGGCCACCCTGGCAGCTCAGAGACCCCAGCACGCCCCCGCCCCTAGGTCCGGCCCCCGTCTCTAGCCGCCCGCCCACAGCCACCAAAGGGAAACCCCACCCCCGATCTCCACCTGAGCAGGGGAGTGTAGGAGCGAGAACCGCTCCTCACTCGCTGGCCCTGGAAGGGTACACTCCTATTCCTGGAGGGATTAGGTGGTCTGTGTGCACCCTCAATGTCTTTGGGGGAACACAATATACCTTCTCTAGCTCCTTTCTTTTTAGGACCCTATGGTCCAGTCACACACACAACGGTCCCTGCCCTTGGGGGCCCAGGGCCCCTCTGCGGAGTCCGGGGAGGGACTCAGGGCACAGTGGGACATAAGGGGCGGGCCTACAGCGACCGCCCCACGTCCACTCGTAATCAGGTCTCCATAATTACCTCCTTCGTCCCGCCCCATGTAATTACAGAGCAGCCCTGGGCGGGGTGTTTATAGACCCAGCTATAGATAAACGTGGGGGGGTGTGGGGTCCTTGCGGAGCAGAGGTCAGAGATAGGCAAATGGGCTAATCGCCCGAGAAGATAGAAATATTGGACAAGGTAAAACAGTGAAAAGGGGCACAGGACCGTGATGAGGGGACAGGCGATGCTGCCAGAAGGGTCTGGCAAAAGGGTCACTCAGGGACGTGTCCGCTCCAGGAGGGCAGCGCTGAGACCAGCGCACCCCTTCGTGTGGGCACAGCGCCGGGTCTGCCCGGAGCCTGCGGCGCAGCCGGGGAGAAAGCTGGAGCGAGCGAGACGCCGCCGCCCGCTGGCGCTGGGAGGGCACCGGCGAACAAGGCGCCTTTGAGAAAAAGCCGGTCTCCCTTCTCCGTGGGCAGCCCCGCCCCCAACCTGGCACACCCTCTCCCCCTCCCGACAAAGCACGCCTTGTGTCTCCCACCCTGCACCGCCTCTGCAGCCCCAGGGAACCTCGGGTCGGCCCCTGCAGCACCCAGGGAGCAAGTCAGGGATTCTCACCAAAAAAATCCCTACACCTAGACGATGCCACGGTGCCCGCCGCCCAGTTACCTCAGTCCAGAAAACAGCTATTTTAACTGGAAAGCGATTTTATGTGCAAGAGAAAGCGGGGGAGGAAGCCTCCCCCGAAAAGAGACCCCGGGTAAAACCCATGCAGCCCAGCACCCATCTCTGAAGGCTGGCCATCCCCATCAGTTCTCTGTCCCCAGTCCCCAGTCTGTGGGCTGAGGAGTAGGTAGGGACAGCTGTAAAAGGAAAGGCCACCCAAATCAGCGCCCCCCTCACAGCCCAGACCCCTTCCACGAGCCAGTGAGATGAAGAAGGCAGTGCCCGGAAAGTCACAGGGGCGGACCACCTAAAGGGCCTCCTTGCCTACATGCCACCTCCAGCCCTGGCATCTAGGCCAGCCTGGGGATGTACAGTACTTCTTTGAGTCTAACTCCCAGTCTCTCCTCACAGGAGATTAAAATAGTCAGTTCTCCATCTCCGCCGGCCCCTTCACCACCACCCTTTATTCTTCAGTCTGACTGCAGTGTGCCGCAAAGGGAGCTACAGGAGGCAGGCGCCCCCCTCTGCCCCCCTCTGTCAGGATGGGGGTATGAAGGGCTGTCAGAGCCCTGCTCCGAAGACCATCAGCTCGGGGACTAGCCCCACAACACCCTTTCTAGAGGAGCTCCATCCCGCTCTCGAGAAGGGAGCAGGGTCCCAGGACCAGGGCCAGTGCTTTGTGCTCGGGGAGCCAGGGTGAGCAATCACCTACATCACGGGAGACTCAAGGCCACTGAAGGTAGACGTGTAGTGGTCACAGGGATCTGGGGTCCCATCTGACTCTGGGACCGGGCACACCCTGCTAAGGGGCCAGACCCCTTGCAGGCTGCAGAAGTGCCCTCCTGCTCTGCACCACTTGCCCATGGCTCTGGCGGGGCCCTGGGCCCTCCCACCCGCCCAGGCGCAGTCCTCTTCCACAGTGCTCCCTGCTGAGGAGCACGCGTGTGCGCCTGGGCTCAGGCTAGCTGGTGGGGAGCCTCCAGCATCTCCATGAGGAAGGTGTCAATGGGGGTGTCGCCAATGAGCTTGAAGAAGAACAGGTGCTCCAGACACTTGAGGCCGATGGAGCGGAGGGCGGGAAGACGTAGCAGCAGCTTGGCGAACCTGAGGTGGACAGAAGGGAGTGAGCGCCAGCACCAGCCAGGCCCTGGACATACTCCGGCCTCACCCTCTGGGGGGCCGCACCCCGGGATCCCCTCTCACCGGCCTTGCTGCTCAGGGTACTTCTGCTTGCAGTAGGTCTCCAGTGACGCGTAGACCTTCTCCCGCAGGACCTCGACCTCGCCAGGGTTGGAGAGGCCCTTGGCATCTGGGATGGTAAAGGAGGAAGAGCAAGAGGAAGAAGGCAGGTGAGTCAAGTCAGGAGTGCAGAAGGGGCCCTCAAGATGCCCCTCAGGGAACTGAGGCCAGCTGGGTTTGTGGAGAAGAGGAGGCTCCAAAGTGGCCTCTTCTTACCTGGATTAAACAGAATGATTGCCCGCAGGCAGCCAAGCTCCGTCTTGTCCATCCTCATGTCACGCATTTTGGACACTAGCTCTGTCAGCACCCTGGAGAGGGACCTGCAGGTCACTCAAAGGTCACAGCTCAGCCAGCCTTGGACACGGACCAGTCTATTGCCCCACCCCTTCTAGCTACAGGACAGCCTGGCCAAGGGCCACTGACCGATCAAAGATGGCTCCCACGCCTGCGGAATGGGCTGAGTTTCTGTGCACATGAAGACCCGTGGCCAGAAGGATGCCATCTCGGACATCAATGGACCGATGGGAGAAGGAGGCAATGAGAAGCTCATTCCAGCCTAGGGGCCAGAGGGCACCAAGGGTCAGCAGGCACACACCAGGTCATGGGATCCAGAGCACAAAGAAAATAGGGGGCAAGTCAGCAAGTCAAGCTCCCTGAATATGCAAGAGAAGGCTACTAGGGTCACTGAAGGTCAGGAGGACAAAGAGGGGTCAAATGTCAAGAGGTCAAAGAAAGTCAAGGTCACTGACCTGCCCGTAGCAATATGACCTGGTCATCCAGAGGTAGGGAGGAGAAGTGTGGGATCCTCTTTGCCCACTCGACAAGTGTGAACAGCTGCTTGTCAGCTGCCTGGCAGATGTTAGTCACTGGGTCATTCGGCTGCAGAGACCAGAAGATGCATGGGAGGGCAGAGTCACTATCCCTGCTGGAGGTTGTGGCACTCCTCTTCAACCCTGCAAGCCCCAGCTGAACCCGTCTCTGATTTAGGCTCCTCTTCAACGCTGCAAGCCCCGGCTGAACCCGTCTCTGATTTAGGCTCCTCTTCAACCCTGCAAGCTCTGGCTGAACCCGTCTCTGATTTAGGTTCCGCTCTGCTCTGAACGTTCTAGTGGAAGCAGAGGTGAGGAAGCTCTCACCCACATCAGAGACAGACTTCTTGAGACAAGGTCTCGCTATGTGCTCCTGACTGGCCTGGAACTTGCTATGTACACCAGGCTAGCCTTGAACGCAGAGAGAGCCACTTATCTCTGTCTCCCAAGTGCTGGGATTATAGGCAAGGGCCACTATGCCTGGCTCACTTCCAGTCCAGGACAAGGTGCAGAGGGGAGGAAGGGAGGAAGAGGAGAGGTGGAGCACACGGACCTCAACTCCTTGCCCAACCCCAACCTGAGGGAGAAGGGATCAACCCCATCACTCACGCTGCTGCCACTACCCCCGGTCCCCCCGGGACCCTCAACGCCTTGGTCACTCTTCTGCTCCACAGCAAGCTCTGCCTCCAGGATCCTGTCCACAGGCATCTCCTCAGGGGCTCCTCCAGCCCCGTCCCCGTCCCCATCCTTGTCTTTCCCCCGTTGCCGCTCCTCCTGGACCGCTGTGGGGTGGGGAGGGAAAAATGCAGAATTGGAAGCCAGCTAGGAGGGTCCAATGTCCCTGGGGGTATGGCAGCCAGAGGTGAATAGAAACGGAAGACCTGGGAATCCGGAAGCAAAGCGCTCTTGGTGAGAGCACCTGACAAGTAAGTACACACGAGACCCAGGGCTCTCCCCATCACCACAAATAAATAAGTACATGAACAGACAGATAAAGAGGTCCACCTGGCAATAGACAGGTGAAAGAATCAGAGAAGAATCTGCATTTAATAGGGTCAGTGATATGCTAAAAATGTGCCAACGTGCTTTAACATGTACTGGAGCGTCTTAATGGCCTCGTGGGTTCCTGCCCCAAGGTTTAAGGATGAGGAACCCGAGGCTAAAGACATAGCCTCCTAAATTCACGCAATACACGACCAGTTACACGCTTGACTCCAGACACGGCTGACGACAAACCCTATGCTCCTCTGACTACAGACGATGTCATCATCTTGGTGACCTGGGTCCAGGTCTTTGGAGGGTGTGTTCTGACTCTGGTCCTGCCACTCTGCCGTCGTGTGACCTTGGGAAAGCCAAGATTCATCTTCTTGAAAGCAAGGACCAGACCAAAATAAGCCCTAAAGTGTCTCTTAAAATTCAGGCATCAGGTTTACTTAGTTTCAGAGAAGAGAGATGCCAAGTCCTGACCTCTTCAGTGATTCTGTAGCTTAACAGGGTAGAAGTCTTGAGGATTCAAGGAAAGACTGGGAGACCAAAGATAGAACGTAGGATCAAAGCGAGACAGGGGCTGTATGAAGTGGAGAAGAAAGAGCAGAGGCCTGGGTAGTCCAAGGCAAGCTGGGAGAGCCCACAGCATCACAGGCTTAACCCGGAGGAGCAATCGAGGAGAACAGGAAAGAGAAACGAAACTTCGCCCCCTGGAGGAGAGAGACGTGGAGGCTCTCCTGCTGGCTGGGGCAGCTCCTTACCCTCCCTCTTCATGCCTGTGGCCAGGCACTTCTGATAGCGGCAGTACTGACAGCGGTTCCGCTGGCGCTTGTCCACCGTGCAATCTTTGTTATCGCGGCAGGAGTAGGTCAAGTCCTTCCGGATGGTGCGTTTGAAGAAACCCTTGCAGCCCTCGCAGCTGTACACACCATAGTGCTTGCCTACAGGGGGAGAAGTGTGGCAGGGAAGACTAGCGAAGACACCTGCCCACAGGGGATCCAAGGCTGAATCCTTCCCAAACACAGAGCAGCTCACAAGGCGAGATAAGCCAGTCACCTCCTCAGCCCCTTCCCTGACTGCCCCTACCTGCATCTGATAGGAATCTAAAGGCCCCACAGGTGTCCTTGCTCTGACCACCCTCAGGAAGCCGTGGGCGCCCACAGGCAGTGGTAAAGTCTCTATGTTCTTTCCTCCTCTGCACCTGGGCTG